ATTAGATCAATTGCTAGCGGTGGGGATCTACCATACATGAGATAATAAGGTGCGTATCCCGTGCAGTCATGCTGCGTGCAATTGTACGCATGTACCACTTTGTTGACATGTTCATGCCATCTTGACTTTGCATCTTTCAGTAGTGTCTTTAGCATTGACAGTAAAGATCGATTGAATCGCTCTGTCTTCCCATTTCCCATCGGATGGTAACCAGTGGTTCTACATTTTTTTATGCCAGCGAGTTTCTGAAGATTGAAAAATAGACGATTTTCAAACTCTCCTCCTTGATCATGTAGAATCCTGGCTGGATAACCGTATCTCATGATGTAATCGTTGAAGATTCGTTCGGCTGCCGTTTTTGCTGTTTTGTTTCTGGTCGGATAAGCCTGAGCGAACCGGGTGAAATGATCAACCACTACTAAGGTGTATTCGTGACCAGCGTTGCTCTTTTCCAGATGTAGAAAGTCTATTGAAATGAGATCGAGTGGAGATGTGGAGATTACCGGAACCATAGGAGCTCTACTATGTAGTGTTGGCGGCTTGTCCTTGACACAGCTACACTGTTTACGTATGTAGTTTTCGATCTCCTCCTTCATATGTGACCAGAAGAATCTCTGTCTAGCTAACGTTACCACCCTCTCTGATCCTAGATGACCCATATTATTGTGCAGCTCCTCCAGAATCAAACATTTATACTTCTGAGGCAAAACAAGCTGTTTCCTTGTTCCCCCAACTAATTCGCATTTTCTGATCAAAAGTCCATCGTCGTTAATTTCGAATTTGTTAAATTCCTTCAATAACGGATTTACAGTTGACTGTTCCGATGATTTGGGTCTCTTGTTGAGCTGCATGTAGCGTAGAAGAGGCTTAATAAATTCATCTTGTTCTTGAGCAGACTTTAATTCAGGAAGTGTCAATTTCTTGTGTGACAGCTTTATTGGTTCTAGGAGATCATCTAGTATTTCAGCCTCCGACGAGGCTCTGTTGTTTATCCCTGGTTTATACTTATGTCAAAATGGAAATCTGTGAGTTCTACAAGCCAGCGATGTCTAGTACTGTCAAGTTTTGTTGTCGTCAAAATGTAGGTTAAAGGATTATTATCAGTGAAGACCGTGAAATGCGGGGCATAGTATAAGTAATCCCTAAACTTTTCCGACACAGCCCACTTTAAAGCGAGGAATTCAAGTTTACCGCTATGAAGATGGTACTTTTGTTCAGAAGGCGTTAGAGTTCTTGACCCGTAGGCTATGACCTTTAACTTTCCATCATCTTCTTTTTGATACAATATTGCGCCAAGGCCATCTTGACAGGCATCTGTATGAACGACATAGCCCTTCTTGAAGTCTGGGTAGGCCATGATACATGGTTGTAGAAGTAAATCTATAAGACCGTTAAGAATTTCTTGATGAGATTCCCTCCATGGTATTCGATTTGATGAAGCAGCTTGTCCCTTTAAAGTTTTCAATTTCACTTTAGACCTGTGATCAGATTACAGATTTTCATGGTCTTTCTTGAGAAGATCATAAAGCGGCTTAGCAATTCTTGAGAAATCCTGTATATATCGGCGATAATAGCTGATTGTCCCAAGCATTTTCCTGAGATCTCCAACAGTCTTGATTTCTCTTGACTTTAAAGCTTGGACGGCTTCCTTGTCGGCAGGGTCCATTTGGTAACCTTCATGTGAAACTAGATGTCACAAATATCTGATTTGGTTTTTAAACATTTTACATTTTTTTGGTTTAAGACGAATGCCCTTAGTCTTTAGGCGTTGTTATACTAGCCGAATATGTTGAAGATGATCATCGAAGGTGTCGGAATAAATCAAGACGTCCAGGTATGGGAAACAGCAATCATCCCTCAAGTCGGACAGCATCTCCTCCATGAATCTCTGGAACTGGCCAGGTGCCCCAGACAAACCAAAAGGTATCCGGTTCCACTCATACAGACCCCAAGGACTGATAAAAGCGGTGATGGGTTTACTTTCCTCGCTCATAAACCCCTGGTGGTAAGCCTTTCCCTGGTCGCACAGACTGAACCATGATTTCCCACGAAAATTATTCAAAGCATCCATGATTCTTGGAATTGGCTGACGTTCTGGAATGGTCTTTTGGTTGATCTTCCGATAGTCAATACAAAGTCTTAAACTTACATCTTTCTTACGAACACATAGCATGGAGCTGCTATATGGTGATTTACTTCGTTGTATAAAATTTCTGACTAACAAGTCTTGCAAGTAGTTCTTAACCTCTGGATACAAAGGCTTTGGGATTGATGAGTAGTTGTGCTGAACAAGTTCTTTGTCTTTCAGCCGTATCTCTAACTGTAAATCAGTTGCATTTCCTATCTCATCCTCGTTGGAAAAGACTTCAGACTCTTCATAAAGCAGCTGCCGAACCTGGTCCCTTTCTTCTTGTGAAAGTTTTTCATTATCAATGTTTACTGGAGGGTGCCATAGCTTATAACCTGAATCTGAGATTTTATTCTTGAATGTAGTTGTCTCCATTGGTTGACTTGATTCCTTCACCATGTTCAGGTTTACAGGTTTGACTTCTTGTTGCATAAGAGGTAGGATGGAATCTATAGAATGGAGATTGCCCAAAACAGTTTTACTTTTAAGGGATATACTGGCTGAGGTACAGTTTTTGGCATATACCATTATTTTCGATACCGGTCCCTTCTTCAGATTTACAACACCTCCACTAATCTCGATTCCTTCTGGAATTTCTAAAGACACATTTGGTTCCAACAAGGCCTGGGTATTTTCGCTTAGCGGGACTTTAACTGTGGCCTTTATAGGAACTGTTGACCCACTTGGTATTTTAATACCATGATTTCCTGATTTTTGGCATATACCATTATTTTCGATACCGATCCCTTCCCCAGCGGGCACGCAACGTTGTTACAACATTGTGACAACGTCAATATTGGTCGTGACGTTGTACAACGTGTTTTCGACCAATATTCGACGTTGTATTTACGTCATATACAGGTTGTTGACACAACGTTGTCACAACGTCATCAAAACGTTATCAAAACGTCATATACAGGTTGTTGTCACAACGTTGTCACAACATTGTCACAACGTCATCAAGACGTTATTCTAACGTCATATACAGGTTGTTGTCACAACGTTGTCACAACGTTATCAAAACGTCATATACAGGTTGTCGTCACGGCGTTGTTACAACGTTGTCACAACGTTGTAACAACGTCTTCAAAACGTTATCAAAACGTCATATACAGGTTGTTGTCACAACGTTGTCACAACGTCATCAAAACGTTATTCAATGGTCATATACAGGTTGTTGTCACAACGTTATCAAAACGTCATATACAGGTTGTTGTCACAGCGGTTTTACAACTTTGTCACAACGTTGTCACAACGTCTTCAAAACGTTACCAAAACGTCATTATTATACAGGTTGTTCTCACAATATCTCACAACGTTATCAAAACGTCATATACAGGTAGTTGTCACGGCGTTGTTACAACGTGGTCACAACGTTGTCACAACGTCTTCAAAACGTTATCAAAACGTCATATACAGGTTGTTGTCACAACGTTGTCACAACGTTATCAAAACGTCATATACAGGTAGTTGTCACGGCGTTGTTACAACGTGGTCACAACGTTGTCACAACGTCTTCAAAACGTTATCAAAACGTCATATACAGGTTGTTGTCACAACGTTGTCACAACGTTATCAAAACGTCATATACAGGTTGTTGTCACGGCGTTGTTACAACGTGGTCACAACGTTGTCACAGCGTCTTCAAAACGTTATCAAAACGTCATATACAGGTTGTTGTCACAACGTTGTCACAACGTTATCAAAACTTCATATACAGGTTGTTGTCACAACGTTGTTAAAACGTTGTCACAACATTGTCATAACGTTATCGAAACGTCATATATAGCAGTTCGAACCTTGACCTCTGATTGTCAAACCAAGGTCACCACGAGACTCCCAGGGGTCAATTTAGTTTAAATAGCCACGACCTCAAGGTCGTCGGATCCGATTTGGGATGGGCGAGTTATCTGCCCTTAGACCACACCGCTGTAATGCTCAGCTATTTCACTTTCTAGGGAAATTTGCCCCAAAAATGTCATCCGATCGCCCCGGGGTTTGGTGACCCGATAGACTGACCCAACATTTGTTCTTCATTTTTTAAAATCGCCAACCAAAAGTCGTGACCTTGACCCGCTAGGGGCCCCGGAAGTATTTTGGTTTTTGAACCCTAGGGGCCCATCTAATAAAGTCAGGACCACTGGACCTTGACCTTCCAAAATGTCATCTTGGTCCACATGACCCCGGTAGGTCAAGGTCATCAGAAAGGGTCAAGGTCACCAAAATATCTACTGAGTTCGATGCTCCCGGGCACATGGTGGGGCCCCTGGTCTGCGCGGCAAATCAAAGGTCATGACCATGGATAGGCAACTCATTGACCTTTCGAATGGGGCCTTGACCTTTGACCTGACCCTTGACCTTGGGATCGAAAAAGTCCCAAAACTTCATTTACCACCCAGATATCACGAATAAATCTCAAGGTCAAAGTCGTGACCCGCACCCGCAAGGTCAATTTTGGGGTTGTAACCTGAGTCAAGGTCATGACATTGCCTGACATTCCCTGTTCCCGGCAGCCATTTAGGTAAAAAATCACATTCAAAATCCCGAGAGAAAGTGAAAGCGGAACTTTCAGAATGTTATTTGGAAGAAAATATTTTGCTTTCTTGTCAGTCAAATAAAGATCCCCAAATTCGATGATTTTTAAGTATAATAAAACATTTTCACTTTCTTGTCATTGAACACGGCGAATTTGTACTGCATTGATCGCGGATTGAAACATTTCGTCGGGTCCCACTCGGCGGTGTGCGACATCGGTCAGTTATTTGTTTTATAATTTTTCGGAAATCATAATTTCCTTTAATGCATTAAAGTTATTGGTGTACTAAATAGGCAATACTGGCTTGCTTTCATGTTGCTGAGCACACGGGTTGGGAAAGCAAGAAAAGGCGTTTGCGTCCGTCAAGTATTATAAAAATGTATTATGAACTGTAAACGAGATGCCTCTCCCGCACCTAAATGTCGCTGTTTTTACATCCGGTGTTTTTCAATTGAAATAATAACACAAAACACAGAAAATGGTGATTAATGCATATTGTGTAGTGTGCAGCGTTTGCTACACAAATTCAGTGCATAAAACAGGAATTGCAATGCGCTTATCTATAGAAATTGACGTATGATCTTGGGTACAGTTGTATTGGTTAACGACGTAGATCGAGATTTAATAACACAATACAAACTATAATACATTTTATTTAAGGCTTATTGTAAAACAACTAGAAGCTGACAAATATTCCGGTTAATTCTTCAGTAAATTATCTGGTAACACTAGCGGTTTTTTTTCCCGCGGAAACTGATAACGTGACTCTAAATGTTGCCGCGAAAGATGCTTCTGGGACGCCATATTGGTTTTTTGGTTCGTGCCGAAGGTAAGTTCTATTATTTTAACTCTCAACCGGGTATGTGGAAGGGATATAAAAATCGTCAATTGCTTCTTCTAAGGCTAATACAAGATCAGATAAAATTATATTGTATCTTAACACCCCATTAGGCTATTAGAGACAGCATACAAATACAAACAAAACATTAGGCTACCTACGCAACAGCATTATCAATGGCTATAAAACAACAAAAACACCAACTATATTTACATGTATGTAAAACACGCGCACCTATACATACATCATGTAGTAACAGAGACTATTATTATTAAGTTGAATATGAAAGCCCCTCGAATTTGATTACCGGCAATGTAGGTTTGGACTTTGTTGACTACCGCGATGTAAGTGGCGACGTTCATTTCAAAACACACTCAGACTGCAGCTGTGCCGAGTGAATTTCATATTTTTAAGTTATATTTTTAAAATGTATTAAAGTAAAGCTTTAAAATAGATGGTATCTATAAACAGTCCTACCTTGTTACAGAATAATCCTATTATTCCTATAATTCACTATTGCCAGTTGAGAAATTGGCCAAAATATCATTTTCAACTTCTAATTCAAATGTTTGCAGATAGTTTTTCCATGGGGGGGGGGGGGGGGGTAGAACAACAAAGGTGGTAATTGTGTTATTATTTCCGGTGTGAATGATTTTATAAGTGCCATAATGATACCTATGATCCTATAATATTGAGTTGACAGCCTATTGAGCAAAAGATATAGAAATAATTATGTTTTGACTTTCTTAGAAAATATGAAATTCTTGCTTTAACTTTTAAAACTAGCTGGACCAGCTGCATGATTGTGTCAGTCCGCTCAGAATACACGAGTCTAGGCCAAGCGACGTAGAATTTAGAACCGACGTGATCTGCACTTGTTTAGGCTAGACATTTGCGTTGATGTGTTGCGCAAGTAGATCTAACTAAATGAAATCTCTCATCATTAGTTTTTTCATATTACTCATATACATAGCCGTTAAACGAATAATTTGCGACACATAGCAAGCCATTTGATCTATTCTACACGTCACTGAGCTATTTGATTTGACGGAGTTTTGTTACCCACGGCAAAATCTCGATCGACGTAGACTTAACGCAATTTTTATCATTCGGCTTCACTAAACAAATTATTAATAAAAACAGCCGTAGATCGACATCTAATAGTGCTAATGTAAATTTAATAATACTATTCCGGTATAAAAAAAAGAAATAATAATAAAAGAATAATGAAATCAATTCAATCTCTTTTAAGTATTTAAATGATCATTTTAAGTAGATACCGTTATATTACTGAGCGCCATGGAAAACGCATCACTTTTTTTTCCAAATATTTTATTACTAGTTGGTTTTGTATGTATAATATTATGCAATACTATGAACTATTGTTTCACACAATGCTCCCAAACGCAAAAAATTTCGGCCCGTGTGCACAAAAAAAAATTGCATGAGATGCACATGAAAAACCCAATATTCACCTGCAGCATTGTGTGTGAGCCCTTTAAAAGCATGTTTTCAACTTAATGTGCTGTACATGAACTGTGAAACGTGAATTTATCGTAATTTGTTGTTGGACGTGTGAAGGAATCGAGCTAGAGATGCCGAGACTTACTGAAAATCAACGGAATGAAGCCATGGGAATGTCCAGGGCTGGCATGTCTACGCGTGCTATTATTGCCAGACACCTCAATTGTCATCAGTCCACTACTGTAAGGTTGGTGGAACGTATTCGAGTTACTGGACCGTCAACGTCCTGGTCCACAACGCGTTACAACCCAGGCTCAAGACCGCTACATCCGGGTCACTCATCTGCGTGACAGATTCTGCCCAGCGACTCAAACATGTGCGGCAGTCGTCGAAAGACAAGGACCAGTAAGTGCCAACACCGTAAGACGTCGTCTAAGAGAAGTAGGACTCGACGACGACCTTATGTTGGAGCTATCCTTAGGGATCATCACCGTCAGCGGCGTTTGATATGGGCTCAAGGACACACCAGACATGGAGAAGAGTAGACTGGCAAAGTGTGCTCTTCAGTGATGGGAGTCGCTTTCATCTTTATCACGCTGATGGCCGTCAACGTGTGTGGAGACGTCTTGAGGAACGTCTTGCAGACTGCTGCGTCTTCGAAACGAATCGATGGGGTGGGGGAAGTGTAATGATGTGGGGAGGCTTCACATTTCATCACCGGACCGCCCTACACATTTGCAGGGGTCGCGTTAATGCTGTAGCCTACCGTGATGATGTCTTGCAACCAATTGTTGTTCCGATGTTTCGAGCGCACCCACAACTTCAGCACTTCCAACAGGATAATGCACGTTCGCATACCGCCCGTTTTAGTATGGACTTCCTGGCTGCTAACAACATCAATGTCTTGAACTGGCCAGCCATGTCTCCGGACATGGCACCAATAGAACATGTCTGGGATGAGATTGGACGCCGTCTGTATCGGAGACCACAGATGCACACCATTGCTGCTTTAGAAGCTGCTCTTGTCCAAGAATGGAACAATTTGCCCCAGGCCTTCTTTCAAACATTGGTTAATTCCATGCGACGTCGCTGCATAGCGTGCGTAAAAGCCCGTGGAGGACACACGCGCTACTGACATCTGTGTCGTACTTTTGGTTTTGACCCCTCTGACTTTGTACCGTTGATTACAGATTAAACATCCATAAGTGTACAAATGTGTTGTTATTGATGTGTTCCCATTTGAATATTGTTCACAATAAGAAGCAAAATAAATAAGATATGTTTACAGGATCATTTTGTTATACGAAAAACTAAGTGATGCGTTTTCCATGGCGCTCATTATATATAAGTGTGAAACCTGGCCATTATTTAATTAATTACAGTTCTAAGTGAATCCCAGCAAGCACAAAATATTTCAAAAACGTTTTTTGTTTTTGTTTTTGTTATTTTTCTTGTTTCTAAAAGGTTATGTAAAAAAAAAAAATATTTATTAAACGTTTTTTAAATGTTTTAAGTGTAAGTTTTTCAGAAGTTTTCGATAAATATTGATAAAAATGTTTAATATAATATGTTTAGATAACGTTCATAATTGATGTTTTCTTACAAAATATTCCATTAAAACGTAGTACCGTAAATATGATTTTTTTAAACGTTTATGAACCGTTTATAAAGAACCCGCAATGAATAGGTAACAATTACCTATACACGCCATTTGAAAAAAAATATTTTTTAAAAAACATTTATTAAACGTTTATTACACCTTTAAAACTTAATTACGTTCTTAACTTAATTGCAAAATATCTATATTTAATGTACCGGTATATAAAAAAACCCCAATAAAGGTCAAGATTAATTATCTTATACATATTTTATTTTAAAACACACCCAAGGTTGACAGTTGGCCCAATCAAATTTAAACATCTTTCCGCCAAAAAGGAATCCCAGCCAAACCTGCATGGCTGCTTTTATAGAGCTGTGATAAACTGTCGAGTTTTATAAGTTGCTAGAAGGCGTAACAGTTGAGAATTAGGTATGTTACGATTAATTAATATTTTGTGTCCATTTAGAAATAATTATGATATAAAAGAATTAAATGTTTCGGTAATTGTAGATTATTTTCTACTGGTGCCATTTCCACGTAGTCGAACTTCTATTGTCATTTCATTATTGAACCCTCCTTGCAAAGTAAATAGTATTTTAAATATGTTTTATTATCTCTTAAATGATTTATTTTAGTTCTGAAACTTTAGTGTTTTTATTTTATAATTGTATTGCATTTTAATCATTTAGTTTTTGGTCATTTGCTATGTCTGGATTTGGAAAGAGCTATTTCAATCTATGTCTGGAATTGGAAGGGGCCATTTCAATATTTATAGTATTGTATAATGGACTTTCCCATTATCTATTATCTTTAAATTTATAGGGTTACCAATTTCATGAATTGTTTAGATAAGTTGATACTACCCCAAGCTTTGCAGGGAGTGTTAATAATAATGTAACGTGTACAAAACTTCGAGCGGGAATTAATAAGACATTAATTTCCCGTGATATATTACAAATGACAAATGCTATATGAACTTTGTGCTGTATGAACTATTTATATAGTCTTTAGTGAATGAAAACATTTTGGCTACCATTCCTGGTTTTGAATGTCAAATATGATATGAAAACGAATATCGGTTTGTAATTTTTTTAACCGTTTCACCAGTAGTAACCGATGAACGGTTAACCAAGTCGCTGTATACATCTTAATTATTAGGCAACCAAGTCTACGATCTTAATTAAAAAGATAGGTTGACACGCAACAAAACATATATGCTCTGAAAATTAAATCTTGTACTTTGTCGATCTACGGACAGGTGGATATAATGCCGGGCTAGTGCGACTGTTAACACCACAGCTCTTTAATTACATGCTTTTGTGGGTTTTAGATTTAATTCAAGTGAAGGGTAATTTTATTATTAAATGTACAACATCAATATCCATGAGCATACACCTGCATAATTGAACTGACATTGATTGTAAATATTACAGTGATTGAAATATAATAATATACTAGATGTGTTTCATTTATTTCATGTTATAGCTATAGGTAACCCATCTGATGAGCCTTGGTGGTTACCAGTTTAAAGTCGTATTCTTTCTTTTGAAAACAAATTGATAAAATAATCGTACATTCGTTTTCCAATCGTCTTCGTCTTAAAGGAGTCAAGTCTCTAACTCAATATCATCCACAGTCTTCGACATTGCAACCATGGGACTCATTGTTTAATTAAACCCAACATCAATGTTGTAACCGTGAAAAGATGGGCTTCTAATGTCCAATATTTAACACAAAGTTAAAGTTTTGAAATTGCCACACGAATCGCGCGCAAGAATGCTTTCAAATTTCATTTGTAATAGAGAGACTCGAAGAATGAAGTTAAATATACCCAAGAGAATAATATATGCGGGTGTAAACTTGAATAACCAGACGCCAAAGACTGGCATTCAATTTGGACTCTTCGCGTATGGGGGGTTGGATGGCCGAATGGTTAGCACGCGCACGCTGTATCATACGGTCTGTCATTGAGTCAACTGGCGGGGTTTCGATTCCCCGGTTGTACGTGACAAGGAGTTTGGTCGCCTGTCTAACCTGGTGGGTTTTCTCCGGGTCCTCCGGTTTCCTCCCACTGCTAAAAAGACCCCTACGCGCTAGCGAATTATTGAAATAAAATTGAACCATGTGTTAGTCCCGAAATGACCAAGTTTGTGTCAAGTGGACGTTAAACCCCATTTCTCTCTCTCTCTTGGCGTATTTCGCCGAACATAACTGATTAGACATTACAGTAAAAACAGAAACGATTGAATGTAAATCAGTTAATATACAAACATATTACATTATTATATGCGTTGCAACCCATTTATGTCCATATCTAGGTGTCAAGGAATGGAAAGTCAAAATTCGTGGTATTGTCAAACGCATAAACAGTATGTCTTTTTATTTTAACAGGTTGATGTCTAATTCCCTAATGGCCCAATTTAATTTAAAGGGAAATAAAGGGAGGCGGTCCATAATGGACTTAGAAATTTACAAAGTTGTCCGAGGTTTGTTTTTATCATACTCAATTTACGAACATATCCTTAAATATCTGATAATCAAACATGGTATGGGCATACACGAGTTTTTATTACTTCATCGATGAGTGTTGATCTTTTTATACGCCGACATTGAAATGTTGTCGTATATTGTCCTCGCCCCCGTCCGTTCGTCCGTCGGTCCGGCGTCCACAATTGCTTGATCACTTCAAAAAATCTTGGGGACGCTCTAGAGGCCAAAGTTAATATCCGATTGACTTTAAATTTATACACAGTGTTTAAGGTCATGAGACGAAGAAGCCTATTGATTTTCAGCGATTTCCGATAATTACTGCCAGAGTTATGGTCCTTGATCACTTCAAAAAATCTTGTGGACGCTCTAGAGGCCAAACTTAATATCCGATTGACTTTAAATTTATACACAGTGTTTAAGGTCATGAGACGAAGAAGCCTATTGATTTTCGGCGATTTCCGATAATTACTGCCAGAGTTATGGCCCTTGATCACTTCAAAATATCTTGTGGACGCTCTAGAGGCCAAAGTTAATATCCGATTGACTTAAAATTTATATACAGGGTTTAAGGTCATGAGACGAAGAAGCCTATTGATTTTCAGCGATTTCCGATAATTACTGCCAGAGTTATGGCCCTTGATCACTTCAAAAAATCTTGTGGACGCTCTAGAGGCCACAGTTAATATCCGATTGACTTTAAATTTATACACAGTGTTTAAGGTCATGAGACGAAGAAGCCTATTGATTTTCAGCGATTTCCGATAATTACTGTCAGAGTTATTGCCCTTGATCACTTCAAAAAATCTTGTGGACGCTCTAGAGGCCAAACTTAATATCCGATTGACTTTAAATTTTATACACAGTGTTTAAGGTCATGAGACGAAGAAGCCTATTGATTTTCAGCGATTTCCGATAATTACTGCCAGAGTTATTGCCCTTGATCACTTCAAAAAATCTTGTGGACGCTCTAGAGGCCAAAGTTAATTTTCGATTGACTTTAAATTTATACACAGTGTTTAAGGTCATGAGACGAAGAAGCCTATTGATATTCAGCTATTTCTGATTATTACTGCCAGAGTTATGGCTTTTGATCACTTCAAAAAAATCTTGTGGACTCTCTAGAGGCCAAAGTTATTATATCCTATTGACTTTAAATTTATACACAGTGCTTAAGGTCATGAGACGAAGAATCCTATTGATTTCCAGCAATTTACGATAATTACTGCCAGAGTTATGGCCCTTGATCATTTTGAAAAATCTTGTGGACGCTCTAGAGGCCAAAGCTAATAACCGATCGACTTTAAATTTACACATAGTGTTTAAGGTCATGAGACGAAGAAGCCTATTGATTTTCAGCGATATCCGATAATTACTGCCAGAGTTATGGCCCTTGATCACTTCAAAAAATCTTGTGGACGCTCTAGAGGCCAAAATTAATATCCGATCGATTTTAAATTTATACACAGTGTTTAAGGTCATGAGACGAAGAAGCCTATTGATTTTCAGTGATTTCCGATAATTACTGCCAGAGTTATGGCTCTTGATCACTTCAAAAAATCTTGTGGACACTCTAGAGGCCAAAGTTAATATCCGATTGACTTTAAATTTATACACAATGTTTAAGGTCATGAGACGAAGAAGCCTATTGATTTTCAGCGATTTCTGATTATTACTGCCAGAGTTATGGCTTTTGATCACTTCAAAAAAATCTTGTGGACTCTCTAGAGGCCAAGGTTTAAGGTCAAAGTTAATATCCGATTGACTTAAAATTTATATACAGGGTTTAAGGTCATGAGACGAAGAATCCTATTGATTTTCAAAGATTTCTGATAATTACTGCCAAAGTTATGGCCCTTGATCACTTTGAAAAATCTTGGGGACGCTCTAGAGGCCAAAGTTAATATCCGATTGACTCCAGATTGATACACAGAGTTTAAGATCTTGAGGCGAACAAGTATATTGATTTTCAATGAATTTTTATGACTTGAAACAGCTAAATCCATGATACAGTATTAAAAGTTTTGTATACAAAACGTTAGCATGGGGCAGAACTTTATAAAAACCTAACAAATTCTAATGGTTTTCTGAGTTGTTGCTCTTAATCAGATTTTAGTGTATTATAAATGTTTCATTACCGAAAAAAGTAAAAATATGTGACAACTGTTGTTGACTGCCTGGACGATTTAGCTACTGTGGGCGTATGTTTCGTTGCCTGGCAACCTATCTTTATGACTTGGACAGCTAAATCCATGATACAGTATTAAAAGTTTTGTATACAAAACGTTAGCATGGGGCAGAACTTTATAAAAACCAAACAAATTCTAATGGTTTTCTGAGTTATTGCTCTTAATCAGATTTTAGTGTATTATAAATGTTTCATTACCGAAAAAAGTAAAAATATGCTGTGGGCGTATGTTTCGTTGCCTGGCAACCTATCTTTTTTGTAATTTAACACCCATGCCTTTCTTACACGTACAAAATTATGGAGAATATGAAAGTAATAACACAAGCGATGTCTCATATAGAATGTGTTATTGGGTCATATATAATATAATTAATGTGGGGTTTAACGTCCTACTGTTCTGCTCAGACTAGGTTAATGAAGATGGGCATGCGCTATACCGCGTGCAATGAAGGAAAAATTTGCCCGGGCAGCGGCACTATGGCCTACTCTTATATCGAATTCCAACTGCCAAGAGATCTTTTACTTGCACGTCAATGTGTACACGAGGCCTCGGTTTTTCATACCATCCAAACGACTAACAGTTGTCCTTGTCAGGCCTACTGAACTTTCTCGGCAAATGTAGGGATCGAAAATGCGACCTCCAGACAAGCGAGCCACCGTTTTACCCAATAAGCCACCTTTGGTCCATAATTCATGGGATGCAGAATTATCTGTTACAGCTTCAGGACCACCTTTTTGATCGGACTGAATTATATAATTTACAAAATTTGACAGAGTAAATATACAGTTTTTTGTATTCTTCAGATAGTGTAATGATCAGTCAGCCGAGCTGCAATGAAGCCGAGATAATAACAGCAGTTTCGGCTCATCTAAAATATGAGCCGGACAGAAGAGGGACCAATTAAGTACATGTACAGTTTAAATTTGTTTATTACATGTCATATTTTATTATAATCTTTATAAGCCATTTTAAGTTCTTTTATCATCCATTTAATTTTATTTTATTTTCTATGTGTGATGTCCACAAAATGTTAACTGCGCCATTGAGCATTGAGTGTTTTATATTGGTAATAGGCGCATTATAAATAATAAATTATTATTATTATTACAGTACCAATTGCATTAAAATTACTTTCTCATTTTTAGCAATATCATTCATTACCCATTACATTGAAAGTAAATAATTACATTTTATTACTATTTAAAGATTAGTGCTAATTTAGCATTTAATCAATCAGATTTAAAGACATGCATACCATTGGATAGTTCGCACTGATGTTTATATATATATTCATATCTTTCTCATTTTATTTATTTGTGTATATATGCTTGAAAACGACTTGTGAAATCTTGTTGAAACGTTGCAGTGAAATAAACCATAGTAATTGTTATTCCATAAAAGTGCGTTATTTGATTATGTTCTAATTACTAAATGCCATTCAAAGAATGCGCCATTAAATGTAATTGAAATGTAATTGACCATTACATGATTTTCGGAATGTAATTAATTACATTTCCATTACTCATTACTTTTGAAATCTTCCATTACTCATTACATGACCATTACTTAAAATTTAATGATCAGATTCTATTACCTTTACCCATTACTGCAAAGTTATATGACTCTAGCATTAATATTGACTGTAATATAATCGTTTGAATTGAATGTTTTGAAACTACGTACTGTCCTATTAATTGATACTGATTTTATTCAGAAAGAAGCAATTAGATTGGTTGTGATGGGACACAATAACTTTGATTCTAATTGAGTGAGGGTGTTGAAACTTCGCGTATCGTTTCACTATGTCAAAACCGTGGCCCAAATCTGTCGGGCATTTAAGCCCCCCCCCCCTTCCCCGAACACACACCTAATTTAACTTCCATCGTGCCCGCCTATTCCCGTCTTCGTTAGTCCAGTGGGGGCAGAACTGTAGGGAGTTCGGATGGGGCTTATACTGGGTTTTATACAACCTCAAAACAACAAATTCTGACGTCGTGACAACTTTTCGCCAACCACCACACAACGTTGAAAAACAACAAATTCTGACGTCGTGACAACTTTTCGTCAACCACCACACAACGTTGAAAAACAACAAATTCTGACGTCGTGACAACTTTTCGTCAACCACCACACAACGTTGTGACAATGTTGCTTGAACGTCCGTACAGCGTTGTCACAACTTTTCGTCAACCACCACACAACGTTGTGACAATGTTGCTTTGACGTCCGTACAACGTTGTCACAACTTTTCGTCAACCACCACACAACGTTGTGACAATGTTGCTTTGGCGTCCGTACAACGTTGTCACAACTTTTCGTCAACCACCACACAACGTTGTGACAATGTTGCTTTGACGTCCGTACAACGTTGTCACAACGTAAGAGTTTGTTGCAAAACAACCTACAGCTGACCTATTTCAGACGTTGTGATACAACCCCTGAACAATGTTGTCACAACGTTGTGTGCCCGCTGGGTCTTCAGATTTACAACACCTCCACTAATTTCGATTCCTTCTGGAATGTCTAAAGACACATTTGGTTCCAACAAGGCCTGGGTATTTTCGCTTAGCGGGACTTTAACTGTGGCCTTTATAGGAACTGTTGACCCACTTGGTATTTTAATACCATGATTTCCTGATTTGACCTCACAAAGTTCATCCGATTTCTTTGTCGAAATAAAGTCAACAAGTGCCGATACCTTTTCTGGTTGTAACTTCGGAAGCAATGACGAATTTAAAATGTCACTATCTAATGGTTCAACATTCAAATAGTTTTCTATCACATTATAACCAATGATAGGTTTTTTTTTTATAAGCAATATTTTTATTCAGATTTCTATCTGAATAGGGATTGGGGAACAGGCATAGCCTATATTAAACCCTTCTCCCTGTCAGATATAGATACATGTATTTACATAAAGAAACATACAATGTACAAGTGCAGTTATTTTACAGTGAGTGTGTTATAGTTGTCTCTGGAATGGATTTACAGTTTAGTAATAGGCAAATAATGTACAAGTGAAAATATATTTACAATGAATGGTTTGGGACGTATTGAAAAAATAACAAACAACAAGCAAAGCTATAAACAGGAAAACACACATACACATAAAAATTTGATGATGTACATTGGTAATGATTTAAATCATTTTGATATGTTAAATAGTACTTATATGCATATTTACAAAAATATTGGTTATCACATCTATATACATATTTACAAATAAAAGATCGATAATCACGGTATAGCATTGATGCGGCGCTGTGCGTGGATTGGCACAAAGTAAATTAATCCCATAAAATAACAAGGACTGATACCAATAAAAAATAATCCGTAAAAAAAAAAAAAAACAAAAAAAAAAAAAACAAACCAAAAAGCCCCCCTCCCCCCCAAAAAAAAACCCCACAGATAAGGAGAAATAACAAATAATAAAACAGCAAATGTTGATGTTGTGCGAATGGAAGAGTCACGTGATTTTTCTTTGATTGGCACGTTGAGCTCGACAAGGGAAGAGAGCATGGTGTTTACAGCACAATACAGTTTAGAAAATAACGGCCAATTTAGGTGGTGAGTAAATTCAAATTTAGTTTGGTTTGATAAACAGTTTTAATTTGAGTTGTGCAGTTTGTTGATACAAGCCCATAACCGTTAATTACTCAACAAGGCAAAAGTTTCCAACATTGTTTATAATATATAAAATTTTAATACTACTGTCTGATTCATCGTAAATTTTAAACGGATTTCTTCGATTATGAACAAACTACTTAACTTTGGTTATTATAAACTTACCTGTGTGTTTGTAATGAACTCCCGTTCGATAAAATCCATTGCACAACTAATTATCACAACGATGAAAACAAGTTTTCTCTTGAAAAATTGAAATATCACAAACTTTTCCCAGAGAAAAATACCAATATGGAAGATGGTTACGTCACTCTGCGGAAGATATCATTTCGTATTAGGGGTGACAGTATAGGAAATTCAAGTACAATTACGACAAGAATCCATGACCACTCGGACCAAAGATCACTCGGTTCAAGACCAGTCGGACCAAGTGATAGACCACTCAGCCCAAACAAATAGACTACTCGGACCATACAAAAAGACTATTCGGACCCAACAGAAAGACGACTCGGACCAATAATAAAATGTTGTTTTAATAAATTGATAATTGCGTTTGTTTTAATATAATTACTCGAACCAATAATAAAGTGTTATTTTAATAAATTGATAATTGTGTTTATTTTAATATGACTACTCGAACCAATAATAAAGTGTTATTTGAATAAATTGATAATTGTGTGTGTTTTAATATGACTACTCGAACTACTAATAACGTGTTGTTTGAATAAATTGATAATTGTATTCCAAATCGCAAAATATCGAGAACCACACTTGTAGTCACGTTTAAAAAGGGGCATATAAACGTCCGGTCTTCGTATTATTATGTGCTGTTTATATTAACGCATCAAGGGCGGATAACTTGAAAACGTGTCTCCACCCCCCCCCCCCCCATATATAGTAACCCAGGGGTTAGTGGGGTAGAACGGAATGAAACCACTGGGGATACCGTGAATGTGGAAAAAGTAAAATTAGGCTATCAGACAAGAACAGTATACCCGTATATGTAGAAACTGTCAAAAGTCTGGAAATACCGAGTCTCATTGCAAGAGTAAAGAAAAATTAGATTGATATTTTTTTTTTTTGCACCATTATTAATTAATTTTAAAACTAATCGTTGATTTATTTACGTACACAAAATTGAACCAAACAACTCTAAATATAAGAATTCCGCATAAGAATTATTTGCTTCTTTGTATTGTGATTTAATAATAAATAAATAGCATATTGTCTAGCCTTATAATATAATTTAATTGGTCCGACTGGTCTTGTTTTGTTCCGACTGGTCTTAGTCCGAGTAGTCTTTGGTCCGAGTGGTCTGGATACCTACGACAATTGGCATTGAGTTTGAGCGTTCGCACACATAACTACCCGCATTCCTGTATTTAGTTACCGTCTTTTACATTCTAGTAAAATCTCTGCAAATTTTATAGCCTTACTTTTTGAAATATTTTGTTCTAATTATTTGATTAGAGACTCGGATGGGATTATTTACTTTTGAACACGCATGCCGCACAAACACAACTATACATTCGTTTTACGGGCTTTATCACACTTCGGTCAAAACTGTCGAATCGAGAATTAATGTTCCGCTTCTTACGGGGTCATACGGGCTTAGTAGCATTATATACCCACCCGGGCACCCAATACGGCAATAGACACGCTGAGGGCTGCCGCAACACGCTTAAAGATGTTACTGAAGCGGTTATTATTCGATCGAAAGAATGCGTATAAAATTAAAAATACACTCAGAGAATTCGGAGGTAAGCTTCATGATCCTTGTTAAATCATTTATAACATAAAGAAGATAGGATATTTATAGTTTATTCATGACTTTATTTTTACGAGTATCCGTGCAATCAGTGATATTTTAATTGTGAAGAAAATTTGATAGACTGGCGATCAATGGTTTCCATATAAATCTCCAATGTAATTGCCTTCAATTGATATTTTTCGTCGCCCAAACCCATATACGATCAAAATGATCGCGCTGTCAAACTATCTTTCAATGTTAACCAACCCCCGCAACAGGTATATTGGATTCGACCAATACGTCACGAAGACATTGTTGACATCGCCTCTGTCGAAATTACAAGTAAATTTTCAAATTTTTCAAGAGAGAAATTGTTCTCATTGTTGTGATAATTAGTTGTGCAATGGATTTTATCGAACGGGAGTTCATTACAAACACACAGGTAAGTTTATAATAACCAAAGTTAAGTAGTTTGTTCATAATCGAAGAAATCCGTTTAAAATTTACGATGAATCAGACAGTAACACTAGTAGTAGTAACATAACAATCGTTCATTCATAGACTACCTAGTAGGCCTATAGCTACCTGCTTAAAGTTAATCGTACGTGGACAATGTGCATATTTAGGAGAGTTGGCACAGTTACAAAGCTTGATACCAATTACCATTATTAACGATGACGTGCAAGGGCTATTTAGGAGTATTTTGCAATTTCGCAGCATACTGTCATTTCATTATTCATAATTTGGTGTTCTGTTTTCTAATATTTCTGACTTGTCACTTCAAGTTCAACAGATTTGTGTTATTACTTAGTAATTCTTATTTCAGGTAAAAATGATACTGTTATTGTTGAGAGAAACTAGGTAAGTTTGGGATTACCATATGCTTCAATTTTATTTACATAGTTCCCTAGCATTGACAGTTCAGGGCTACTGCTTCTTGAAAATATAACCAAAGATAAAATTCAAATCTTAGTAAATACTAGGCAATAAAATCGATCTAATTATCCAATCATATTACAAAAACTTAGATTCCGTCCTAATCAAAGTTTCGTGAAGCAGGCCTCTGTTTAGGTCAATGTTTAAAGTTGAGTATTGACACTCTTCTAAGAAAACAATTTGCACTATGACGGATGGGGTTATTGGTAATTTTACTGCATAAAAGCCTTTAGGCCTACAGTGTTATTTAACCATTAACTAACATTGGGGTTATAGTAATAGCAAAATTAATCAATTCAAAAGTTTTACAATCTCAATAATTGTTGGGTTTTTTTTTTAGATGAGTAAACTGCAGACAGTTAATGCACATGCATAGCACAGGGGCTAATAAGGGTAAGTATTTTACATATTAAACTATCTTGATATTTAAAGATTCATATTATAGTAATTGAGAATTTGAGTTGTCAGTTATAAATATAGATAAAAACTAAACAATATAAAGGAAGTATGCTCTACTCGGAACTAAGCAATTAGCGATTGGATTCTACTTGTCTGGTTTCTAATCAGTTTCATCTAACTTAAAACAGTATGTATTATTATAATCTTACTCTTAACATAACATGCATAGCAGTTAATAACACTGGCAGTAAACCTGTAAACATCATATACAGCATCATATACATGTACTCCCAGCTTATTATCAGTCTTTTACAATACAAATGACAACTCTAAATAGTGTAGTATTATGATTTCTGATTTACTATAGTCAGTTGATTTACAAACTTTGCAATAAGCTACTAAAGATGATTAACTACTTGATTTATGTTTTGCACTATTTTGCAGGAGATTCAGAGAACATTTCAGACCAGCTTTATACAGACAGGCTAATTTACAAACAAATATATAATATGGGTAAAGTCTATAGGTGTATATATTTGGTTATGCAAGTTTGTTATTGAATTCCAATTACTTATTACAAGAACTATAATGTTTGTTGGCTATAAAATTCAATCTTAAGTAAGCTTAATAAAGATATCATAATCATAAAAATTAATATAGCTAATACATATAATAATATATATAAGTAATATTAAAAATTCAATGGGATATTGATGGTGCATTAAAGAGAGTTGTTTCCCTTTAATATCAATGCGCAAAATTCACAGATATATAAGTTTATAAATTCATTTTTAGATCTTTCATGCAAATTTGACAGGCAAAACATTTTGGAAATTTATATTCTAAAGGGTAGACACTTATGAATTATTGTTGGTTATTGAGGGGGCAGGGTTATCTTCACAGGTATTGATATTAACAATGATGTACAGATTTTCTATGTTACACTATATTTCAGCAAGTTTGTTATTGAATTCCAATTACTTATTACAAGAACTATAATGTTTGTTGGCTATAAAATTCAATCTTAAATAAGCTTAATAAAGATATCATAATCATAAAAATTAATATAACTAATACATATAATAATATATATAAGTAATATTAAAAATTCAATGGGATATTGATGGTGCATTAAAGAGAGTTGTTTCCCTTTAATATCAAATGTGCAAAATTCACAGATATATAAGTTTATAAATTCATTTTTAGATGATAGGTTCATTGATTTTGTCGGTTACAAGGAATGGGACATGTAGAATTTTAGCGTCTTTTGCCTTAACTAATTGGAAAGTTAATACTACGTAGCCTTCAAAAGGTATTTCAGCCCCATTTGCAGCTTTAACCCGAAACAATGAATGTTCTAATAAATCTGTTATTGGTTTTATTGTGAAATCGTATAAATTCTTTTTTAACCATGTTGGGGGCACAAGGCAAACTTGAGCGCCTGTATCCCACAAAGCTAAAGTTTTTTGTTTGTTCAACATGCATAGAACCTGACATGATTTCCCCACAAGTTTACACAGTTTATCACGGTCTACCTCATTTAAAGGGGGTGTTCCCAAACTGAACACAGTTCTTTCAGATTCTATAAAGTTTATTCTGCCAGTTATTGCCTGTCGACAGTCTACACAACAACCATATCCAACACCACATTCACAGGATGAGGCTAAACAAACATGCTTTCGGTTCAACAACTTGCCTCCAGCGTTGAAACCCTTTCGTTTCCCGAACGCTGTTTACAACCAGCTTGAAAGTGTTCAGCTGAACCACATCTGAAACATCTGTCACTAGAGTTTTTCTCAGTACAGGATTTACACTTGCGGTGTTCTTGTTTGGATCTTTCAGGGCTGTGCCTCCCCCGTCTCTGGTTGTATGTATTTGACTCTTGTTTCGTACAATCGTGATAGTTTTGTGACGATCTAGCTTTTGCAAATTCTTCCCGTAAAGCCTTTACTTCAGCTTGTAAAGTCGGATTACTCAACAAAAGTTCTTTTGTTGCTAGAGCCACCGCTGGATCGCGAAGTCCTGTGTGGAGGCTCCTTAGAGTCATTCTGCGAACAAGCTTTTTGTCGTAGTGTCCTTGTAGTTCGCCTCCCAGGTTTTCGACCTCCGCAGATGTCAACAACACCTTTTGTCCCAAGTCTTCCTTTGGTCGTTGCGATGCACTTGTTAATTCATTATAAAGTTCTGTGGCAGACCTTTCTCGAAAGTAAACCCTAAGTAGCTTTCTAAGTTCTACTAAAGAAATGTCATCTCAGGCTTCAAGATATGCACGTAACTGTTCATTGGGATGAAATGATTTTACCACTGCCCAAATCACTATCTTTTCAGTGTAACCCTGTTCTAAACCAGTCTCAACTTGTCGCATGAGGTTTATGAAGCTGATTCCTTCCAATCCATTTACCGTCCCACTGATCTTAAACTTTTCGTTGTTTTTCGTCACATGTTGATGTTGAACAACAGCTGACACAGGGTCCTTGGATTCCTTTGAATCTGTCTGAAAAATATCATTTTCTGATAAAGTAGGGGTTGTTATTTGGGTGACACTGGCCGTCGGCTTCGGTTTTCTGTTTCGATGCACAACATTCCACAACTCGTCGGTTTTCTGATGTGCGTTTTCCCCTTCCTGTATATTTTGAATGAGTTTTTCGAGAGTTTTTATAAGTTCACAAGGTGTGTTATCGCCACCTGCAATTTGTAGCTCCTTTACGATTTTATGTAGGATTTCATCTGTGGATGAATAAAGTTCTCTCCTGATCAGATAAAGCTTCTCTTCCATCGATTCTTTCGATTCTTTAGACTTAGACATCATAAGACTTCAGTACGGTAACAACCTTGTCCCTGTGACCATGGAATTGGAATCCTGGCAAGCTCGCCAAATGTAAGCTTTGCCGTGGTCTTTAGGCGACAGATTTCTGCAGAAAGAAGGAGAAAATATTGAGTTATTCTACAAGTTTATTTTATTAATGGCGGCGGGAAAACAACACAACAATTTGAACAATTGTAATTTATAAAGAACAATAAAATGAATATCACTCATGGGTGTTATGCGCAATGGATATAAAATGAGACCAATGATTGACACAATCTAACTATGACATACGCACCGAAGATCTTACTCCTTAACGTTCTGTTCAAGGTCTAATGTCTAAAGTCTAAACACAATTGAGGCAATGGATGGACAAATAAGATTTGATTGATTCCATTTCCAATGAGCAAATAATGGAATGAATAATATTGACAAATCGAGCACAACAATGAATTATTGACATGGGTACTCAATATAACATAATTGGGTATTGTTTCTTTTAGGACTAAAATGGAATAGGAAATAACTGACACTAATGATACTTTAACAAACATGTGCAATTCCATTCCCAAGAACCACGCACTGACGTCACATATTCCTACCGACCATGCGTTTTCGATCACTCGAACACAATTGTCACTTGAAATGAAAAATGCAAAAAAACGTGACAATGCCTGAATACGGACAATTGTCAACTTATTCTTGGATATCTTATGCACAAATTAACATAACTTTGACATTATGATTATTAATATTTACCTGCAGAAAGAAGGAGAAAATATTGAGTTATTCTACAAGTTTATTTTATTAATGGCGGCGGGAAAACAACAATCTTTCAGCTAATGATTATCATCGAAAAATGGTATTTTTAACCAATGAAAAATAAGCTTACAAAAGCCAGCTGATAATAATGGTTGTTATCTTCCCTTAACCAATAATGATATAAATCTTGCTTCAGACCACTGGTTAAACTATACGAATTACAGCAGAATGTAATACAATTTAAAAATGAAAAATTTAGGCGGTTTACAATTATACATATAGTCTCTATTTTGTCTATAACTCTCACACCAGACAGTTTATGCGGTGGGTTACCCCTAACAGAACAGACACACCCAATATGCCACGCCTCCCAGCTAGGCTAGATTAGCTTAAATCCGTACCGCATTAAACTGCTTGGAAGTCATTCAGCACTTTTTTGTTACCTCTTGTACAGGTCAGGTTCATTGTGTAGGCAAAAGACAAGACGAGTAACGAGTTTGATAAGTTTATGTAACAGCCATTTCTAACTATCTCTGACATACGTCATCATGAATACATCCGGGTAGTTTACATTATACAAATCGTAATACAGTTAAAGGGAGGGTACTCCAATATCGTTACATCCCCCTTTTCAGACATAATGTAAACAAAACATTAATACTACAACTGAAAGAGATATAACCAACCTGGCTATTAAGTAGATTGAACATTAACATTTAAATTAAAAAGATTACTACATGAAATATCATTTAGAGTTCGCTTTACAGTCACTTTTAACTTTAAATTACACATTACTTTAAACTATGATAAAAAGAACTTGATATCAACACAAATGTCAATTTGTAATGTAATCTTTTAAGTAATTAGGTTTTTTAACTGTTCTTCCACTAACTCTAGTTGTAGGTTTGGGACTAACACCTTCAGTTTGTTTAACAGTAGAGTTCTTAGATTTCACAGGTGAACGCGATACTATCGGCAGTTTATTGGAATTACCAGTTTCTGACAAATTATTAGGATAGCGCGCACACGCTAACTCAGGCACAGTACGTGTAGGTGTATGCTGAAAATTGGGTTTTTCCACACACGGTAGATCACTAGTCTTACGCAAGTGACGACGATTTCTTCTGTAAGTTCTACCATCTGTACGAATATCATACGAGCGAACATCCACTTGATTTTCAACTTGAGCTTTTACCCATCGTTTATCACTTCCAACAGGTTTTACGCGCACAATATCCCCTGTTTTCAATAAGCAGAGTTCTTTACTTGATCTGTCATGATAAGCAGTCTGCTGAGATTTCCTTTCTTCAAGCTTAGACTTAACATCAGTAACTAACTTAGGTTCAAGTAATGAAGTACAGGTTGGAAGAAGTGTTCTACAACGACGTCCAAATAAACGTTGACAAGGAGACGATTTCAAACCTTCACTAGGTGTGTTTCTCCAATCTAAGAGTGCTAGGTAAGCAAGCGCTGAAATAAGCGTCCGGACACGGACAATGTCCGGGCGAATTGACCCCTTTTGACAGGCCAAATTGCCTTTCGTCCGGACATAATTGTCCGACCGTGTTTTTGTAAAACATTATGTCAAAAATATTTGAGTCGATCGCTATTTATTATTAGACTCGAAAGTCCAGAACCAAAAATATCAATGACCCGAGTCATAGTGAAAATGTTACTATTTATATCTCGGCCGCGTGCAGATAAAATCTTCAATAATTTTTAGAATCGACTCTTTTACGCTGGTTATATCAACGACCCGAGTCATAGTAAAAATATTACTATTTATACATGTATCTCTCTCGGCCACGTGAAGAAAAAATAATGAATAATATTGAGAATCGGCTCTTTTACACTGGTTATTCGAGTCTCGTAGCTAGCTTTGCGTTACTTTCGTATATGATTAGCTCTAAATCACACCTAACATGACATGTAATTATATAAATTATTAGTAATAAAAGTAATAATATTTTAAAATTAGTTTACAAGAAAATGTCCAAGTTGACTATGGATGTAATTAGGGACAGATTTTTTATACGAAAATATCTCACTTTGTTGGACACTTCCAATGTGAATGTAAATAGAAGAGCCGTGAAAACATGTCGAATAAAATAACTTCTTACTTTTCCCAACCCTCGGACACGGATATCCCGGCTAGTGGGACCGTTCCAGAAAATTCAAAGACTGGTACTGTGTCTTAATCTTATGTCTCTCATAAAGACACTTCTAAACGGGGGGCGTCGCCGTCACCAGTTGGAAAAATACAAAAACGAGCCGTAGAACTAGAAAAGTGGATCAAAAATGACTTGGCAGATTCTGAACCATTTACGACAACTCAAGATGTCTATTCTTTAGTTAAATTTGAATCTTAATCAGAGTTTTTAGGATTTAGTCCCCAGCCCCACCAAAGAGATTAATGACATTATTATATGAACTATAAAGTTGTATTCCATATACATATAAAAACTTAAAACTCCAGGTTGTATGTGAGTCATCAATTTATTTTATTAATAAATGTATGTATAATAATATATATAAACATAGTAAATTTCAACAGTTTTTTGGTTTAATATACTTTATAAAGTATTTGTCAGGCTGAAAATCTGAAATGTCCGGCCGAAAATCAGTTCAGCCTGACATGATGTCAGGCTGAACCTTAGCAGTTATTTCAAGGCTTGTAGGTAAGCATCAGCTTTATCTTCAAGGGCTTTACGCATGATCTGTTTTGCAGTCTTCACAGCATTTTCAGCTTTTCCGTTGGACTTGGGATAGGTAGGAGAGCTGGTAATATGATCAAACTCATATTCGTTAGAGAATCTTACAAAATCAGCACTATTGTAAGGAGGTCCATTATCAGATATTACACGCTCAGGCAAACCATGTCGCGCAAAGTGAGCTTTCATCTTAGGTATGACTGTTTTGGCTGTTTTATCTTTGAGATGATCAACCTCAAAGTAGTTAGAAAAATAGTCCACAGTAATGAGGTAGGGCTTCTCATTGAACTCAAACAAATCTGTTCCCACAAATTGCCATGGTCGGGAAGGAATTTGATGACTAATCATAGGTTCTTTCTGTTAATCAGGTTGAAAGGTGTTACAAACGTCACACTTTTTAATGTATATCTCTATATCACGATTCATATTAGGCCAATAGACGCTTTCACGAGCATGTCTTAAACATCCTTGGATACCAATATGACTGGAATGTATCCTAGATGTTGCATAATCTCGAAGAGAAAATGGTATTATAACACGTTCAGCTTTAAAGAGAACACCATTTTGTACCGACAATTCATCTCTTAATGTATAGTACAATTGAACATCTTCAGGCAAACTGTCTTTCTTGTCTGGCCAACCAGTAAGAATAAGTTCTTTCAACTTAGTAAGAGTAACATCAGATTCAGTAGACTGTTGAATTCTTCTCAAGGATTCCTCAGTAACAGGTAAATGATGTAACATATTAATCTGTTCTATTTCAACTTCTATAGACGATCTGGTATCAACAGCTAGAATAGTTGCGTTGATTTCTGCCTGCTTAGTATGGGGTAAGTATGCTCTACTTAACATGTCAGCTATGTACATTTCTGAACCACGCTTATAGTTAATAACATAGTCAAAACGTTGAAGACGTAAGAGCATTCGTTGTAAATGTTTAGGAGCACTAAGTAGACTCTTCTTAGTAATGATTTCTAGAGGCTTGTGGTAAGAGTCAACATGTACTTTACGGCCATAGACATAATGTTCAAAACGTTCTAATCCAAACACGACAGCAAGTAGTTCTTTCTCGATCTGAGCGTAGTGTATCTCAGTTGAAGTCAGAGAACGAGACACAGTAGGCACAAACTTTTGAACATAGTTTACCATACCCAAAAAACGCTGAACTGCAGCTTTATTAGACGGTTGAGGCATATTTAGGATTGCTTTTACTTTAGCAGGATCCACTTTCAGACCGTGAGAAGTAATCACGTGACCCATATAAGTTACTTCATCCACGTGAAACTTCACTTTGGCTTTATTTATCTTCAAACCTTTAATTTGACATCGTTTCATCAATGCAATAAAGTTACGATCATGATCTCTAGTGGCTTCTTCATCAGAGTTTCCAGTACCATAAATGATGATGTCGTCATGTATTGCTTTAACACCTCATAGACCTTCTAGAGCAAGATCAACTCTTCGCTGAAATTCTTCAGGAGCTACAGATATTCCGAATGGGAGACGTTTCCATCGGAATCTTCCCCAAGGAGTACCAAAAGTGATTCGGCAACTACTTTCCTTGTCCAATACAACATACCAAAAACCATTCTTAGCATCTACCACTGAGAAAATTCTAGCTTTAGACAACTCTGGGAGTAGGTCATCAATAGTCGGTGTAGGATAATGATTCCTCTAAGGCTACATTGAGTGGTTTGGGTTCTATACAAAGACGAAGTTTTCCATTTGGTTTAGCGACGACTACCATTGATGAGATCCAATCAGTAGGGGTAGAGACAGATTCAATTATGCCTCGTTGAGTAAGTCTATCTAACTCATGCTTGACCTGTGATTTCAGAGCTACAGGAACCTTTCGAGTCAGAATCTGTACAGGCTTAATGTCTTTATCTAACTCAAGGCTAAGTTTACCATCAAAACAACCATCACCTGTAAACACATCTTTGAATTCAGTATAAACGGTTTCTAGAGTTAAGACAGGTAAGTGTTCATCAACTTTACAAGTAGAATTGACTTTGAAATTTTCAACATTGACTGTTATCAGTTCCATTCGCTGTATAGCACACAAATCTAGTATAGGCTTTACATCAGCATCAACTATGAGGAAATCCAAAATGTAGCTGTATCCATTCTTGGGGTTGGTAAGTTTAACAGAGCTCTTACCAATAGGAGTTTCCTTCGAATGATTATACATATACAGAGTCGTTGATGTAGGAGTAAGTGTAGAGTTACTACAATGTTTATCATATACTTTGAGAGGAAGTATATTAATAGTTGATCCACTGTTAAGCTGAAATTCTACCAGTTCATCAGCAACTTTCATAACAGCATTGATCCTCTTCGGGTAAGCAGAATTCTCACCACTTCTTGTCGAATTGACAGAGTTTACAGAGTCAATTATCATAACACAACCATCAGACGAGTCAGATCCTTCAACGAAGTTAACGTTATACTTGGGCTTTTTCTTAAAACCGTGACTCTTCAATGACTTGTTAGGGCATTTAGCAGCAAAATGATTAAGTTTCTTACAAACACCACAAGACTTTCCCCATGCAGGACAAAACTCTTTTCTCATAGGATGTTGAGCAGTACAGAATTTACAATCTATTCTAGGAGAACTTGACTGTAGAAAAGGAGGAGCTCTTGCAGTTCTTCTGTTTACTTTCTCATCACGCGATGATTTACTAACATATTTTATTTCTTCAACACCAGCCATGTTTTTCACTTGAACAGCTGTAGTCTCACTCGCTCTGCAAATATCGATACAGGCACGTAACGTTAAGTTAGCAGTTTACAAAAGTTTCTTACGAGTGTGATTGTCTCTTATTCCAAGAACTATTCTATCACGAATAAGACTGTCTTCCAGGGCACCATAGTTACAAGTTTTTGCTAGAGAGCGTAGCACAGTGACATAATATGTATCCACATTGTCAGACTATTGGTCCCGTTTATTGAAGCATAAGTTTCATTTGTCTCGCCAAGACAAAAACTTTCAAACTTCTGAACAATAGAATCTACGTTATTTCTTGAATCTTTGATTATCATCATCAAAAGTCAAACCATCGTAGATGTTTAGGGCTTCTGGTCCTAAGCAGGTGAGGAGGGTAGCAGTACGTTGACCCATTTCCTTCTGATTCAGGCCACTGGCTATTTCATAGTTAGTCCATACACGTTTAAAAGTTCTCCAGTTAGAAGCCAGATTTCCACTCAAGTCAAGTTTAGAGGGAAAAGGTAAGTTGAACGGTATGTGCAGCACACGATAGTTTCTATCACCTTCAGCCATGCTTGAAGTACTTAGATTTTCTTTACAGGATACCACAGAAACAAGAAGCAGGACTGTTAGCAGTATACTAAAACACAATAATCTTCATAGTCGAGTTACTTTAACTTTACTATAAGTTCCATCATTGTAAACAGACGCCAACAATGTACTAGAGTAGGCCTTACATTATACGTTGCAGAGACAGACGTACTAAAGTCTAGTAAAATCCCAGAGATGATTTATTTCAGTTTCACGATGCAGAGACAATCGTTGAAGGCCCTTTAAATCACAGAGATGATTTGATCAAAATGTCAACAAGGTTTTAACGATGCAGAGACAATCGTTGACAGCAGGTCAATCGCAGAGACGATAACAAGCCTTTACAAACGCTGAGACGTTCTAGTAGTAGAGAGTCGAATCACTGAGATGATTCTTTACTAAATTCGCTGAGACGAATCCAAACTTGACAGAGACGAAGAGATGTTTGTTGACAATTCCTGATGCGCAGAGAAGCATCCAGAAAAACATCGTAGGAAATCCAGATCAAACTGGTTTCTTCCATGCGGTCACCCAGCCTTGCCATTCCACCCGTTCTAAGATTCAGTAACTACATACCAACATTGCGTTTATAGTATACGCTAGTCCAAAATGTTCACATTACTTCTGACACCATGTTTCGTTACCTCTTGTACAGGTCAGGTTCATTGTGTAGGCAAAAGACAAGACGAGTAACGAGTTTGATAAGTTTATGTAACAGCCATTTCTAACTATCTCTGACATACGTCATCATGAATACATCCGGGTAGTTTACATTATACAAATCGTAATACAGTTAAAGGGAGGGTACTCCAATATCGTTACAAGCACCACAGGAATCATGAGTGATCACTGCCAGACAGTTTGTGCGGTGCACTTTTCAGCTAGGCTAACCTCCTGGGCTCCCGGTCTATTATTCACGAAAACTTAAACAAAGATACAATCTAAATTTTAAGAAATACTGCAATTCGATTGGCTGACCAGTAAAATTAATTTGCATATATCCAATGAAATTGCAGTATTTCTTAAAAATTTTGGTTGTAACTTAGTTTAAAGGGACAATAACATTCTTGCTGGCTTGAAAGCTCAAGAAAATAAATAATATCTCTATCTAAGTACTAGATGTACTGTCGTTACTACGAAAGAGTGTTCACCTCTGTTGTGAGTGCAAAGATGTCTCCTGTTGTCCAGTCTTCCACACCTTTTCCATGTTTTATTATTCGCATCTGTTACATGAAATTGCTCCCCTTTTAATTAGATAATTTTACTTTTTACATTTTGTAGATATAAATATAAACTACTATATGTAATTTTAAAACATAATCTGCTCCGATATCTTGATGTTTTAAACCATGCCCGCAGTCATACTGTTTCATGTCTACAAGAAATGTACATATTATATTCATTTTTTATGTATTATAGACCGTCTTAATGTTGCTCTGCTCTTTACTTGTAAATATTTTTATTACCTTTTGTTGTGATGCTCTAATTATTCTATATCACATTACCCAATGGACGCTTCAATATCTGATTCTATTTATAGAACTCTTTTTATCATGTTATAAAACAGCCCTTCCTCTTTTTTTCATTTGTTTTAAATAGTATGTATATGAATTATTTAATTTATATGATTTTCACCATTATGTTATAATATGTATGTTAGTAGTCTCGGTCACCCAGAACCTCCTAGTCTCCAACTAGGAAGGTTGTCAATATTTGACGTAAAGTCCATTGCCCATGCGTAACCGGGAGTTTGGTTTTTAATGTGGTTGATTATCCAGTCTCTTTAGCCAAGCCAAGTCAAGTAAGAGTTGTGCCCCTTCCCACAATAAATCCCATAATTCTTGCATTAATATAAACAAACATGAATCGTGACGACGAATTAGGATTAATTTTAAAAGCATAGATATGGCCCATGAAGAGAGAAATTTTACAATAAAAAATTAAGAGTGTTAGATATTGAACTCGCATGCAATCAAATTGATTTTTTGAAATGACATACTTAAATTTATTTCATGGGCGTAAACATCTTGTTTTAAGAGGAGTTACCTTCCTTAGACATTGTTTATGATAATGTGAAAGACCGGATTATCTAGCCAATTTTTCTCAAATGTTGACAACCTGTCCAGACTAATATTCGTAGAATATTTTTCTGGATGATAGAGACTAGTATGTTAGGCGCAATCTTCACCCCTCGCGCAGATTGTAATCTGCGCTGTCATCCTGCGCAGATTGCACTCCGCGCGCGCAGATTGCAATCTGCGCTTATGAAGCTGGCGCGCAGATTGCCAACTTTGCGCTGATTACCCCACGATGTTTTTAGTGATATTGTAGTGTGTCAGACGCAAATATATATTATATTATACATGACCTGCCTCCTGTGGTCTTTGTAGTGAAATAATTTTCAAAATCACTGCATAATTAGCCGGGTAGACTAATCACCGGAATTCATTTACAATCACCGGAATCATTTACCATCACCGGAATTCACTTCTAAAATCCCCGATTCCTCCCACAAAATGTATAATACATTTTGATCTCTCCACAGGCCAGATAAAGGCGCTGTAGGTGAATTTATTTGAAAGACTACCGGAATTTATTTCAAATATATGCATCCTGATTATGATAACGTAGGGCGCGTCGTATTACTATTACCCAATAGGCTGAACTCCAAAATAACACATAATAACAATTCGCCCGAATTACCCAATAACTCCAAAATAACAGCCAATAACCCAAAAAATGTTGACTGTGGAAACACAATATAACAATTTAGTTGAATTTAAGAAGCCTCGCTGATTTGTGCCCAAATCGGAGGTTCACGGGAGATAACTCGTGTATGTGATTTTTGTTGACAAGAAACTCATGTATATTTTCGTTGCAATTCGTTGTAATGTATTGTAATAAAAGATTGATGATAATAGTTTATTTTTAAATAAACAATTTAATATTATAGCTATATATAATTATTTATTTATAATTTCGGTCATCGACATCGTAACTTGTTTAGAAATAAATAAATTCTAATTCTCATGTTATCATGTTATCATAGTTTGTTATGTTTTTTGTATGTGAATTCCGGTGTTTTAAAGTAATTTATTATTATTGTAAAATATTTGTGATCGAGTACGAAGGTCTGAAGTGCGAATTCCGATATTTGAAAGTGAATTCCGGTGTTTATATGTTTTCAATGTGAATTCCGGTGATTTTCGGTGTTTAAAAGTAATTTATTATTAATGTAAAATATTAGTAAATACGAAGGTCTTAAGTGCGGTTTCCGATATGTTGAAAATAAATTCCGAGGTTTTAAAGTAATCTATCATTAATGTAAAATATTAGTAAATACGAAGGTCTTTAGTGCGAATTCATGTTGAAAGTGAATTCCTGTGTTCATATGTTTTTAATGTGAATTCCGGTGTTTATGTGTTTTCAATGTGAATTCCGGTGATTTTATGTGTTTTAAAGTAATTCAATATTAATATTAATGGAAAATATAAGTAAATATAGGAAGATTGTACGGGCGAATTCTGATATCTCCAAAGTGAATTCCGGTGTAGGCCTATGGATTTGGTCAAATAATATTGTAAGTTAAAATTTGGACTGAAATGCTGATGTTTCATGCATATAATTACTGTTTTAATAAACTATTAATCAATCTCTAATTACAATACATTACAACGAATTGCAACGAAAGTATACATAAGTTTCTTGTCAACAAAAATCACATACACGAGTTATCTCCCGTGAACCTCCGATTTGAACAAAAACCAGTCACGCTTCTTAAACTGATACTAAATTGTTATTTTGTGTTTCCACAGTCAATATTTTTGAAGTTATTGCAGGTTGTTATTTTGGAGTTATTGGGTAACTCGACGCAAATTGTTTTTTAGTGTTATTTTGGAGTTCGGCCTATTGGGTAATACGACGCGCCCTACGTTATCATAACCATGATGCATATATTTGAAATGAATTCCGGTAGTCTTTCAAATAAATATACCCACAGGGCCTTTATTTGGCCTGTGGGGATATCAAAATAGTAATTCGTTACATTATAATGTATTATACAATTAAAATAAAGTAGTTTTGTGGGAGGAATCGGGGGTTTTCGAAGTGAATTCCGGTGATTATATGTGAATTCCGGTGATTGTAAATGAATTCCGGTGATTAGTCGGGCCCTAATTAGCGTGTGTGCTTAGAAAATAAGATTTTTAATTCTAGTCAGCAGTATCTCATAATCGGTGCTGGCCACGTGATTGAATGTCAAAAATATTTGCTGTAGTTTAATAATAGTTTGACCGATCGTAGTTTCTTTAGTAACGAAGTCTAAAGCCCGCCCCGTACCGCTACGACTACACACAAGCCGACAGGACTCAGCGTCTTGGGTAGTTGTAAAAAAAAAATCGGATCGCGCCTTTACTTCACTTGCCTACGACGGTACCAGTCCACACAGGCCCGACTCTCACAGATTATGCGTCGTGAGTTACGCCACTTCCCTCTAGCGAGTGATTCCAAAAGTAAACCGGAAGCATAAATGTAGGACAACTGATCGCGTCGTGTGAGTGTCCACACAAACAAGATAAGTTACGACTGCAACCAACTGCATCCGACTACGATTGAACATGTTCAATCGGGCCGACATACTGTACGGGAATAAATTATTAAAAATAGCGAGGTTCACCTATTTTTATTACGTACGGGATTTGAATATTTTGACACGTGACTTTTAATTGTGGTACGAATTCGTCTGCTTAAATAACGATAAGAGTTATGCCCCTTTATTTTCGTTAAAATGTCCGACAAGAAAAAATTTGAAATCCCATCACTGATTAGGACTTTGTACATTGTACTTTTTACATATAATCAATGGAAACGACATTGTCGCAGAGCATTTAATATTGGCAGCGATACCCTTCCATACAACAGTAGCACCAAGCATATCATCTCAACAAGAACCAGTTACTCAAACAGCTGTCAGTGGTAAGAATTTAGTTAAATAGTTTAAAAAAAAAAAAATGAGGACCGATATCAAACATTTGTCATACTCTAGGGTCCCTACATGTACGGTATATGGCAGAATGAAATATTTACAAAATGAAAGTTGTCAGATGGTAAATTCCACATGCAGAGTCTGTCAAGAAATAAAACCAAAAAAAAAAATGCTAAAATAACAAACTAAATGATTTTTGATAGAAAATGAATGAAAACCTTACTACATTTCCATCCAATATAACAAACAAAAACCAGCATTTATTTTTATGAAAGCTTGGCAACAGATTATTTTGTTATTTGTTTGTTTAATACATAATTCACAGATTGAATAAAAATTATTCTAAATAATTAAACCAAGAAATTAAATGTTGTAGAGATATAACAGTTGTTATTTTCCATCCGAGTTATGCCAATTGATAATTCATCTATAATTTTAAAAGTAATGGAAATAAACAGTCTTTTCAAAGTTATTATAAGGTGGAAATAACATACTATTAACTTAGAAAGGTCATACAGTCATTTCTAAACCTCAAATGGTCATTATTTATCATGCAATATCTGTGGTTCTTTTTTGCTATCTCTGGGTACTGTTACGTAAACACTCATATGAAGGAGCAAACCCGCTAAGCTATCCCAATATATGAATTTTAAATTCATAAAATGGTCCCTTGGTATGAATCAAAATTGATAAATGACCTATTATTAGATTTATTTTTATCTTCCTGTTGTGCAAATATACCAAGAATTCAGTGAGAGAAGACTGAAGACTTTAGATGGTTGGAGTGAACTATGTTCGAAACTGTTGCATACTCATATTGAGGAGTTGTCACCTGCAACCAGAGTTTGTAGTTGTTGTAGTGAAGTTGTGGAGAACATTGTTTTCTGTGAGGATTGTGGTCCTATGGCATATTATTGTGTGTCTTGTTGTTATAGTCTTCATAAGACTGTGATGTTTCATTCACCACAAATTTGGAAGGTATTGAGGATCACATTTTGTAATATTTCTTGATGTTTTGTTAACAATTCTTTGAAATTCATGTTGATCCTTTGATTTGCAGCCTAAAATATTGCAACTATATTAAGAAAAGGAAGTATAATGAAAATTGTCAAGGATTTAATGTGTTTATCAAAATTGCCGGAATAATCTAAATCCTTTGCTGTTTAGATTGAAACACAAAGAATTCTGGTTTTATTTAATCATTAGTGCTGATTATGGCTTGGTTATTAGCTAGTAGTTTGTATGTCGTCTGGTTTTCAAACTTTCATTTTAATATATTTTGAATCAAGATGTGTGTAGATTTTATTTTGCATGTTTTTTTTTTTCGTTTTTTTTTCGAGCAGTTGCTATGTTCCCATGAACATATACTACCATTTTAACGGTGCGATACACATTCCTGTGGCACAGAGTATATCTCTAGTGTCTATGCAATTGATGTTAAAGGTTTGTATAATTAATTTGTTCATAAAAAGACATTCCTTCTGTAATTGATTTAGATGGAACATAAACCTAAGTTTCATACTATTTTTAGCTTGATGTTCATGAATAGAAATGGTTTATTCTTCATTTGTGTCTAATATGAAAGAGATGGAAATCAATAGAAAATAATGTGGCCATTGATCAATTTGAATAATATTTGGACCAATTTATTTTTTTCTAAGATATTTTTATTGTTTGTGTGAAGTCTATATTTGCATTTAAGTCTAAAATAGTGTCCCTTAAAGTAGCTAAGTCTCTAACTCATTATCATTCAAAGTCTATGACATTGAAAACATGAATTATTTGTCAATTTTAATCAACATTAATGTTGTGATCTTTCTGGGAAAAGATAGGCTTCTGATATCGGGTACCATAATGCGTTTCAGCACCATTTTTAACAATGGACTCGAAGAACGAGGCTAGACATATTCCACAAGACATTTAAAACAGCGACGCCATATTCTTATCTTGAGATTATGCACAATAAATACTATCGGCGTAGACTGGAATAGCCAGACGCTAGAGATTGCCATTCTATTGAGACTTCTGGCGTATTTAGCCGAACATAACTGATATGAAATTGGAGTTAAAACAGAAACGATTGAAAGTAAATAAGTTTATATACATTCATGTAACATTATTATATGCGTTACGACCCATTTGTGTCAATTTCAAGGTGCCAAATATTAACGAGTTAGCTCCTCTAAAATGACAACACTAAACAAATTTAAATTGCTGAGTGTATGTAGATAGATGTAAATTTGTAATTCCATTTTTTCAGCTTAAAATTAATTTGAAGTTGCAAATTTGAAAAAAGAGCTAACATTAATTCTTTTTTTGTAGGAAATCAACATAGCTGTCGAGTCAATTTGTGTAGATGTGAAGACGCATGTGTGACCTTAATGAGGTACCGATTGTGGCCTTCTGCACCAAAAAGGCCAAGAATTGTCTTTGACTTGAAATTTATGGAGCTGATGGCATCGCTCCAGTTGGAATGTCATGTTCCAGCCAAGGCCTTCTGCGAAGCTTTGGTTTCGCTTCAAAGCGATTACATTCTTTTGTCTCATGATTTTGTAAGTATGATAGAAGTAAATTTAAACCTGTCAGGGTTTGATTTTATATAAAGACTAGTAGAGCCCTACAGCGTGTCCTTATTGGAGTGTCATAAAAGCAGAAATAGTGCACCCCCCCCCCCAGGCCTATGCTACTCCCAGGCTTGAGCTGGTCTTATACCCCAAACTTCAACCTCTTGACAGCCTTAGTGTAGCCGCCAACCCAAAACAGACTGTCATAATATAGATTAATATTAAACCTGGAAACATGCAAAGACTTCTGATTATGTTAAAGGCTCAATACCACTCTTGTTGTAACTGAATAATATGTCCCAATCTTTATTCTGGTCAACAAATTGTACTATTTTACAAAATGGAAACAGGAAAAGGGTACGGCAACACTCCCTTAGAGAGTAATTAAAGCTGGACAGGCTGATACATCTGCGTGGAGACTGGATCAAAAGATGATACCGGCGGGGCGGAGTACTAAAATAAAAATAAAGAATCACCGCTCAACAGAATACACAACAGACTTGTAGAAGTAGAAGATTGTTTAATGGGTCGACGTTTCGCGTGCAATACCCTTTATCAAAATTAAATTATGATGATCCTGTGACGCCTTATATACAATAAAGGTGATGACGTCACAGGATTTTTAAATTTATTTATGTACAGTATAAAGATTGTTAAAAAAAGAAAGAAAGGATCGTTAAATTTAATTGAAGTATTAGAATAAATGTATGTACAAATTTGATTTAATTGCTAAAATGATTAGAAAAAATTGTTTAAAATGATAAAAAAAGAAGAGTTAATTACTAAGAATGTTTAAAGATTGATGATAATTATGGAGCGATTTAAAGTGAATAGTAGATAATGGTCTCCAGGATGGCTGAGGCGGTGGTTGTTTCATCTTCTTCTGTATTGATGGGATAAGTTGATACGTATAGTCTCGGTCATCCGGAACCTCCTAGTCTTCAAACGTGCAGAGGAGGAATAAAAGACTAGAATACGTAAGGAGTATGGACTGAAGGTTGCGTGGTGAGTATAGAGTTAAAAGGAGTAATTACGTAGCTTGGTGGTTCAATTCTTTTGGATCGTGAAATCGGTGATAATGATGAGTGGTGCATCGTATTCAGGTTAAATAGAAGGGTTGTTGGCCACCTCTATGAAATATAGTTTCTGTGGTTAGAGGGCCACGGGAAAAGGATATACTAAGTAAGTTGAGGCTTAAAGGCGAAGTTGTACGAAAAACAGTTTATCTAGAATCTAGCGTATAAAATGAATGCTGTATAATTAGGGTGTCGATTAGGTTTAAGTAGATATTCCTCGATCTGGTACGTATTGGTGATATTTATTCTTCTTAGGGACGAAAATAGGTTTTCTAAATAAAATCCAAGTGTGTGTTGATTTATCTTCCTTCCAAAAATTGGCGAGGATTCTAGTTAGTACTTTTCAGAATTCTTGATGTGCGGCTTTCCAGAGTATAAGTTGTTTGGAGGGAAAAGTCGGAGTAAATTTATTCTGGCTTAATCCTTTAGGTAAAAAGCAATAAGCGATGCATAGGTAGGGTGACCCACCATAAATAAATATCTCCATATATCTCGACAATTACGCCACAATATTTATATATACTATTCAAAAAAAGTAGGGGATATTTGATTTTTAAGTGTTATTAAAGTCACCTAATGAAACTGACGAAGAAACAAATGACAAAATGAAATGAAGTTCACATTCATCGATTTATTCCAAATGATCGTTAGACTAAGTAAGGCACAGACTGACCATTATAAGGGTAAAATGATACCCGGGGTCAAACAGCAAAGTTACCACAGCATCACAACCAAGTCAGTAACGGGTAAATCCTCTTCTGTTTGCCAAACAAGCATTGATCCGACGTGGCATACTCCTAATGAGACGTCTAAGGTCATTTTGGTCCAGATTGTCCCATTCCTGTTGCAACGCAGCAGCAAGTTCTTGGACATTGGCAGGACGTTGTTGACGTTGACGTAACCTCTGTCCAAGCATGTCCCAGACATGCTCGATGGGGGAGAGGTCGGGACTCAGTGCTGGCCAAGGTAATGTGGTGATGTTCTGTTGTTGGAGGTCCAAAAAATCAACAGTGAACCTTGACTCTCACACCAGTGTCTGTTTGAAGACGAGCGCTGATCTGATTTGCTGTGATGACACGATTTCTCAAGGCCAAGGTACAGATAAATCGATCCTGGGCTTGAGTTGTCGCCCTTGGTCGACCTGAGCGTGGTCTGTCCTGTACAGATTGTGTATCACGGTATCTGGACCATAGCCTGCTTATAACAGACTGAGAAACATTCATCGTCCGCGCCACAACCGCCTGTGTTGTGCCGATCTGTAGCATCCCAAGGGCACGTAACCTTTCATTTTGGGTAAGCCGACGCATATCAAAATTTGTTTTCTGGTCACTAAAACAATTAAACTGATGTTTCCACCCTGGAATTCAATGCCACAATGACTGTAACATTCAAAGTCAGAGTCGTGCAAATCTTGGGTTGGACCCCCATGATGATCCCAAGCATCACATGCATTCCATGCGGTAGCTATTGGTGCGTTTGGGCGTCACATGTAACTGGAAATGTTTCTTCTGTTAGGTTCTATAGTGACTTTTTTCGTAGTCATTTGCATATTTTAGTATTATGCCCCCAAAATCAAATATCCCCTACTTTTTTTGAATAGTATATATGCCAAGCCTCAAATCAGTTTCACACAATTATAGTCACTAAATAAACGATCATGTTGTACTTAATAAGCTATGACCATTAATCATGTATAAATAACAGACTGAAAACTGGTTCCAAGAGTCGTCCATAACATCCAGACACATTTGAGTAAAAGATAGGTTACGTGCCCTTGTTTTGAAATTAGTCTCGCATAACCAGTCTATCGACCATTCTACGTCTGATTGACAGGTCGGGATAATCAAGACTACTTTTTTACGAAACATAACAGAAAGCTAGAACAAGAAATTGAATTTAGAAATAAGCACTTTAGACAACTCAACAATCGTTTTAAGAAGCTTGTAAAAGTAAAATGAAACTATTGCTAGTATCATGTTCCTGTCTAACCCGAGTGATTCAGAGATATTATTTGTACTAAACCAAAAGATGCCGCTCTTAACGGTACAGTTAATGATAAAGCGATTTAAAAAATGAAACGAACGTAATTTCTAAATCTGCTGTAATAACCAAGAAGCTTAATTTTACTGCTATTCAAAATCGTCAACAATAAATTTTTTACGGCTGTAATAGTTGATAGATTTGTAGAGAATTGCCCGTGCCATGGCTATTTATAGTATCATACTGTCAGAAAGTTGGTCTCGGCACGGCGAATGTGCACGCTTCAGTGGTAGTCTCGAACTATCAGCGGTGGACTGTATTTCTGTGAGTACATGGGTCACCCTAGCATGTTGTTGAAGTATGTGGCAGAGACAAATATATCTAGTTCATCAGCAGTTTTTCTCTTTTTGTTGAGGTTGTCCATTGGCAATTCTAATGAGAGAGAGAGAGAGAGAGAGAGAAGGGGTTTAACGTCCACTCGACACAAACTAGGTCATTTCGGGACTAACATACGGTTTAATTTTATTTCAATAATTCGCTTGCGCGTAGGGGTCTTTAGCAGTGGGAGGAAACCGGAGGACCCGGAGAAAACCCACGAGGTTGGACAGGCGACGCTACTCCTTGCCACGTACAACCGGGGATTCGAAACCACGCCAGTTGACTCAATGACAGACTTTATGATACAGCGCGCGCACGCTAACCATTCAGCCATCCAACCCCCGGGCAATTCTAATGAAGAGGAAGGCGGCTAAAAAAAAGCTCGAGAGTTCCTAGAGGAGTGGATCTAAAAAAGATGCGCGCCGTGCCTGGATAAAGTAAACTGGAAACAGGAAAAGGGTACGGCAACCCTCCCTTAGAGAGTAATTAAAGCTGGACAGGCTGATACATCTGCGTGGAGACTGGATCAAAAGATGATACCGGCGGGGCGGAGTACTAAAATAAAAATAAAGAATCCCCGCTCAACAGAATACACAACAGACTTGTAGAAGTAGAAGATTGTTTAATGGGTCGACGTTTCGGGTGCAATACCCTTTATCAAGATTAAATTATGATGATCCTGTGACGCCTTATATACAATAAAAGAAAGAAAGGATCGTATAAGATTAAATGTATGTACAAATTAATACTAAATTTCAAGCTGGTAGTGTGCTCAGATCAAAAAGAAAAATGTCGAAATTAGATGTGACCGGGCTATTTGGGGCTATATGCAAGCATGATATGTTGTAAAGGGGGTCTTGGGGTCGTTTCAACAAACAATCCAGATTGGGTTCAATACTTTATTATCGTATCAACCAGGCAAGTAATAAAAACCCTGCAAATATAGAATTCAATATAAGTTTTACATCACAAAAGGAAACATCAAGATACAAACATTATAACACACCAACTATACTCATTTCTACAGCATAGACATAAATCTGTGCTACTAATTAAATTACTATTTAAATAAATAATCAACATGGTACCAGTACTTTAACTAAACTAGTCTATATCAACATTTTAAACTAACTTACCCGAAGTGGGGTTTTAAATGCTTAGATTAGCTAAATGTAATCAACTTAACAACCTGAAATAGGATGAGATGTATATATATATATATATGTAGTAGGACAGGGTTCGGATACTGGATGCAGCGGCAGCTAATGTCATGAAACAAACAATAAGATATAATTTGATACTTTTTATTATAAATTAAACAACAATGGATTCTGGAAATGTGACGTGTGCCCTTAATGTCTCAAAATGATTGATTTGCCCGTAATACTAAACAGAAATCATAAACTTTATACGCCAACGTCTATTTCTCTAACTACGGAATGAATTAACCCACTGTGGTGAATCGATTCATCGATCCTGTACAGCCCGTTAACCCACTATTAAAAACGAAATCACCGAATTCTTCCTCACGAATCAAGTGAAAAGGCCGCAATGCCTATATCCCCAGTGTCTGACAGTAGAACGCAATGTCTAAACTACTAGAACACCATTAAAAACGAAATCACCGAATTCTTCCTCACGAATCAAGTGAAAAGGTCGCAATGCCTATATCTCCAATGTCTGGCAGTAGTACGCAATGTCTAAACTACTAGAACACCATTAAAAACGAAATCACCGAATTCTTCTTCACGAATCAAGTGAAAAGGCCGCAATGCCTATATCTCCAGTGTCTGGCAGTAGAACGCAATGTCTAAACTACTAGAACACCATTAAAAACGAAATCACCGAATTCTTCCTCACGAATCAAGTGAAAAGGCCGCAATGCCTATATCTCCAATGTCTGGCAGTAGAACGCAATGTCTAAACTACTAGAACACCATTAAAAACGAAATCACCGAATTCTTCTTCACGAATCAAGTGACCAAATTCCAATATCGTTTAGTACGTGGATCGATTCAGCGAAGCCACAAGTAGATCCAAATTATACTATTGTCTCCCAAATCAGAACTATTATCTAAGAGTTAGAAATGCGCTCAAACAATCTAGCCCAAATATACTATTCAAAAAAAGTAGGGGATATTTGATTTTGGGGGCATAATACTAAAATATGCAAATGACTACGAAAAAAGTCACTATAGAACCTAACAGAAGAAACATGTCCAGTTACATGTGACGCCCAAACGCACCAATAGCTACCGCATGGAATGCAGGTGATGCTTGGGATCATCATGGGGGTCCAACCCAAGATTTGCACGACTCTGACTTTGAATGTTACAGTCATTGTGGCATTGAATTCCAGGGTGGAAACATCAGTTTAATTGTTTTAGTGACCAGAAAACAAATTTTGATATGCGTCGGCTTACCCAAAATGAAAGGTTACGTGCCCTTGGCATGCTACAGATCGGCACAACACAGGCGGTTGTGGCGCGGACGATGAATGTTTCTCAGTCTGTCATAAGCAGGCTATGGTCCAGATACCGTGATACACAATCTGTACAGGACAGACCACGCTCAGGTCGACCAAGGGCGACAACTCAAGCCCAGGATCGATTTATCCGTACCTTGGCCTTGAGAAATCGTGTCATCACAGCAAATCAGATCAGCGCTCGTCTTCAAACAGACACTGGTGTGAGAGTGAGTGGCCAGACGATTCGGAATCGACTGCATAGGGGTCACCTTCGCGCCCGACGTCCTCGCGTGATCCCTTGTTTGAGAGATCATCACATTCAGGCAAGACGTCGTTGGTGTAGGGATCGTCAACACTGGGATAATCGACGCTGGAGCAATGTGATGTTTTCAGATGAGTCAAGGTTCACTGTTGATTTTTTGGACAGACGTAGGAGGGTGTGGCGTCGTCGAAACGAGCGCTTCCAAGACGTTAACGTCATCAGACATGATCGATTTGGGGGTGGTTCTGTTATGGTGTGGGGAGGCATCACTGTTGCTGGAAGAACGGCTTTACATGTTGTTGCAGGGCGTGTTACAGGCCAGTACTACCGGGACAACATCTTGGCAGTCCATGTTGTGCCGTTCGCACGACGTCATGGCCGCCGTTTCATCTTCCAGGATGACAACGCAAGATGTCACAGGGCCAGGATCGTTACAGGTTACCTCCAACAACAGAACATCACCACATTACCTTGGCCAGCACTGGTTCCCGACCTCTCCCCCATCGAGCATGTCTGGGACATGCTTGGACAGAGGTTACGTCAACGTCAACAACGTCCTGCCAATGTCCAAGAACTTGCTGCTGCGTTGCAACAGGAATGGGACAATCTGGACCAAAATGACCTTAGACGTCTCATTAGGAGTATGCCACGTCGGATCAATGCTTGTTTGGCAAACAGAGGAGGATTTACCCGTTACTGACTTGGTTGTGATGCTGTGGTAACTTTGCTGTTTGACCCCGGGTATCATTTTACCCTTATAATGGTCAGTCTGTGCCTTACTTAGTCTAACGATCATTTGGAATAAATCGATGAATGTGAACTTCATTTCATTTTGTCATTTGTTTCTTCGTCAGTTTCATTAGGTGACTTTAATAACACTTAAAAATCAAATATCCCCTACTTTTTTTGAATAGTATATAAAAGAAATGGAAATCAACACAATCTGGTTGATATGAGGCGATTATCGACCCTGACAACCGATCTGTGTCTTACATATGATAAGGTTACCTTACCTCGGAAGTTACTAACTGAAACTCCCCCGATGAATGATACGCGCCCAGTTTTATAGTCGAGACATGCACGTGCACGATAGTTGATTGGCTCGCATACGCCAAGCAAGAAGACAAATGGATGAGTTTGGGCAAAATTTCCCTCATAGCACACTGTATGGCGTATGCCCGTCTTCAATTAGCCCAGGTTAGGTGCAGAAGAGTAGGACGTTAAACCCCATTTCATTTCATTTCTGGTTCATTTTGACAACTGCATTGGGTGAACTATCTTATGGTTACAATGCAGCTTATTTCCACCATTTTCTAATTGCGATAAACAGTATTTATGATAACAATTTTCAGATTTAAAAGAATAAAATTCAAATATATAATTGTTTGAAGTAACTGTACTGTAAATAAATTTTAGAAATGACCCCTTCCCAAAAATCATGTGAAAACTTGAGGTCACAATTTTGGGGATTAATTTAACCCTAACCAATTTGCCACCCTTCAAAGAGCTGCTGAGAGACATATATGGATTGCTGGCTGATAGTTATGTTGACCAAAACTTGATGGCCATCTACATGTATTAGATTCTAGATAGTAAGAGCAGTTTCTCACCAATTTTCATCAAATGTAAATGGCACCTAGGCCCTAGCGTTATTAGCTTGCTCATCTTTTTCAGGTACGCGTTTATATAGTAAAATACAGAAAGCTGAAAAGACAATATCAAACTGTTCAGACATTATTAGTAGTGTAACAACTAATATGAATGGTAATAAAATTAAATAAATTCATTACATTGTTGTAAACATATATGGTCTCTACACATGTGATACGAGTAAAATAAACGTGTTCAAATTTAATAGAAATGCAATATATTGTTAATTACATGCCTCTCATGAATTGGAAACCACAACAAGTCTTGAAAAATTAGCTTGATCTTAGAAAATGATTGCAGACAGTATTTGACTATGACCTTCTTATGATTGATTTGTTAAATATAAATATACATCTCTTTTTCAGTTGATATTGATTCTGCAAAGAATTGGCTGATGAAATGGAAATCTGAATTGGATAATGTCCCTGGTAAGCTTCACAATTTTGATATGCCCTGTTTGTTGTGGATGTATATTATCGTTAACTGGGTCCATCCAAAATTTCATATGAACACACTACAGGTCAAAGAATTCTTGACTGGTTTTGTTGAAATTTGAAGGAATTGTTCTACTTCAAAAACTATTTACAGGCTGTACTGGATAACATTAGTGTCATCAACTAATTTTGATATTTTGCCCTAGTTTTATACTTTGTATTGTTTTGGCTGCCATGTACTTGTTGCACAATTACCTTTTTTTTTTCTATTTAAGCAACTAATTTAAATTCCGAAGACTTATATGTTGAGAATTTGTATGTTAGTGAGATGAAAAGGTAAATATTTTCGAGATAAAATTTCTGACACTTTAGGTTGTCTTTCATCACATCTGGTAGACAAACTTGTGTAGTATTGTTGGTTGGGGTTTTTTTGTGTCTGTTTTTAAGCTTTATTTATCCAAATAAGGGTTGGTTGATGCCAAGTAGAGAGAACCCTGGGCTCACTAACTTAAAATGTGTCAGAAGATTGTAAGATAGCAATGCTATGATATATTATTATTACACACTTCTACTGCACACAACTGCCACATAAATGTGTGTAAGTGTGCTATACAAGGACATACTATAGAACAAGACACTATTATATCTACATGATGAATTTTTATTTAGATAAAACCACATGTAATTAAAAATAGCTCTGGATAATCTACCTATTAAAACGATCACAGATTAAAATATTTTTTAAATGAATAGTCTTTAGTTTAGTTTTAAATGTAGTAATAGCACTGACATTATGATTTTGAATTGGAAATTAACCCAGAGACATCACAGAATTTATCCAACTAATTCAGTTAAAATTTAAACTGAAGACTCATCTTTTTAGAGAATCATATAGAATCACGTGTGTACCACTGTATAAATATGCCAGTAAAGTGCTTAGAAATAACTATTGTTATAATAAAAGCACTGTAAAAATGAAATTATAATAATCATAACAGTATTTGTACAAAATATGGCCATTAACCATATGATGATAAATTATATAAGCACTGTATAATGATGTACATTTTTAGACAGTATGGGTAAAACCCCAAATGATCGAACTCCGATCAAGTTTTTGTGTTAATTCATTAATTATTTATTTGCAGACACATCCTAGAAACAGGTCCTTCTGATCTAACAGAAAAGACAAAGATTGAGAGAGATCTAGAAAGGTATTATAAATGTATTCTTACGTTTGTTTTAACTGCTTTTATTGCCTTAGCAGGAACATCAACTTCAGCGCTTCATAAAATGCTTTTGCAGATCTCTTGCAAATTTTACAGCAATCTAATTTGAACACCCTTGATATAACTTTCAAAACACGCCAAATCAAAAACAAATTTTTACCAGATGGAGAAGTTTTCTTGAGTTTTAATATCTGTTCTAGTAATCCCAAGTTCATATTCATCTGGAAGCAGATAATAGAGGCTATTTATTTAGATATTTTGTCTGTACTTATTATAATTTTATTTGTTGATCATTGAAATCAGTGTCTTTCTGTGCATAATTATTAAGCCTACTGGAATCTGATTGGTCAATATCAACTATTAATATATCTTTATAATAAGTCTGTAGTTGGGAGTCCTTGCATTTAATATCGATGCCGCCTGTACATATTTAAGATTGATGGGTGTTGGGCGTAAGTTGCATTCACTGTTATCTACTCTTCCTGTGAAAGCTCTATTCACTGATAACATTTTGGACCACAGCTAACTCGGATTGCTTGTTTTTAATACCATAATTTGCTTCTTTGTTTAAGCCTCAAAAAAGAAAGAGCCAAATTAAAAAAGAATGTGTGCAATTCAGTTGTAGAAAGTGATGTCAATTTTGAAAATGAGCCTTTTAATCGTATTTTGAAAAGTGCTCAAAAAAAGCGCAGAATTAATAGCCTTGAAAAACTAAGACAGTATTCAAGTGAACGACAGTATTTGTCTTCATTGATGAAAGAGTATGCAGGTAAGTAATCAGTTATATAAAACTGCTTCATTGTAATAATAGGATGGCATGCGCTTTAGATCGTAAGGTCTGTCATTGAGTCAAGTGGCATGGTTTTGATTCCCGCTTGTACATGACAAGGAGTAGGCTCACCTGCTAACCTAGTGGTCTATCTCTGGATACTTTGATTCCCCCCCCCCCCACTGCTAAAGACCCCTAGATGCAACTAAATTAATGAAATTGGAACACATGTTAGTTTCGAAATAACCCGGTTTGTGTGTTACTATTTTCAAGCTCAGTTCCACTATTGTTGAGTAACTCATTTTGAACTGAGGGAATTGTACATAGTCATTTACAGGGATGGAAATAGAGGTCCAATATTATCACATATATCGGTGTTAATTATGAGACTGTATGTGTTAGTCTCAAAACAGCCAGTTGATATATTCATAGTTATATGTAAAAATTATATCATAATACATCTTCAATAATAATAGTAAGAATATAGTTTAGTTAGTGTATTATATATTATCTATTTTCAGATGGTCAAGTTTTAGGCTCCTGTATCGGTAGAAAGTTGACAGCAAATACTGCCAAAATTAAGAAAGAATTAACTATTCTTAACAATGGACGTTTTACATCCAGGACAGAGTTCAGTGATGTTTCTTTACCAACGTTACCAATTTTTGATGAATTGTCAGAGTGTTCTTTGAATTCAGATCAAATAAAAGCTGCAGAAGCAGCTTCTCTGAAAGAACATGCACATGAAGAAATGACAGTTGTTCATTGTGAAATTGCTGCTTATCACCGATACTTGTTGAGTGCAATTAATGATATAAGATCTGAAACTAAAGATCTACAGTTGTCTTCCTCCACCAAAGAACTTCGATATATGTGTGGAAAAATCCATTATTTATCAACACATCTTTATAGATTAACTAGACAATATATCAAGTCAAAAGAATTATTTGAATGTGCTGGAATAGAACATAATTCGGCTACAGATTTGAATGATTTGATACTGTGTTATATTCAACCTGAAAAACCTTTGTCATCTGAGGAATTAATAGATATAATAACAGATATACAAAGCTGTGATTTAGAATTTGATGAAAGTGATGTTGATGAAGCAAGTAGTGATACAGAAGATAGTGACTCTGAGTCGGATGATAATTAATGTTGTATTGTGAAAGTGTATTAGTAGCTAAATAAGATTTTCATTTTCTTTTGAGAATACTGTACAAGGCTTCGGCTATAACTTTTTTTTATCTTTGAGATATCTCGATCTTTTCAAAACATGATCTTTTTGGTGGCAATGTGTGATTGGAAATATAGGATTATAAGTCCCTGGCGTGGATGGAATAAGCTCATAAACTTTTTCCTGCTATTAATTGCCACACCCATTTGCAAATATGGGTGAAAAACTGAAACCGCAACTATGTCTTGTGTAGCATTCTCAATGTTTAAAAGTAACATGAAAGTACATTATTTATTTATATGTGGATCTTTCAGTGTGAAATTAATAATTATCAGATATATATCACCATGTACAATTGTTTAGGTTGCTATTAATTAAGTAAACTGTCATATAGATCAATGGTTGTCACCACCAATGTTTATTGAATCATTTACCATTGGACAGTTGACAAAAATACCAAGCCATTAACAGTTGCCATTTGAGACATCACCAATTAGTAAACCACTTACTAGGAAACGGTTGACAGCAATATTTAGTAATAGAGAGAGAGAGAGAAATGGGGTTTAATGTCCACTCGACACAAACTAGGTCATTTCGGGACTAACATATGGTTTAATTTTATTTCAATAATTCGCTTGCGCGTAGGGGTCTTTAGCAGTGGGAGGAAACCGGAGGACCCGGAGAAAACCCACGAGGTTGGACAGGCGACCCTACTCCTTGTCACGTACAACCGGGGATTCGAAACCACGCCAGTTGACTCAATGACAGGCCTTATGATACAGCGCGAGCATGCTAACCATTCGGCCACCCAACCCCCCATATTTAGTAATAGACTGTTGACAGCCCAACCTCGTAATGAGACACCAATAGCTTTTCATGATAGTAGTATATCACCATATTCAATAGTATAACATGTCAGTATAACCCAGTGGTATATGCCATTTACAATAGTAAAACATGTTGTAATTAAGTTAGTTTTCATGATAGTTGTATATCACCATATAGCATGTCAGTAATCAACTAGAGTAATAACTATGTACAATAGTATAACATGCCAGTAATTAAGTCAGTTATTATCTGGTTGTATATCTCCATGTACAGTAGTATAACATGTTAGTAATTAAGTCAGTTACATATATAGTTGTATATCTCCATGTACAGTAGTATAACATGTCAGTAATTAAATCAACTGTCATCTAGTATCAAGCGCTCAATGTTCGCGTGTGACCTTTGACATCACGCGTGCAGAAATTCCTAATCGTCGGGCTGTCGATTAGGGGAACCCTTACATTTTTGTCCTGTATATGCTCCATGAGTGTTTTTCTGGGAATCCAGTATTTTTCTAGTAAGATTGGATATCTCTACTTTCCATATATACCAAAATTGCCATACTTTTATTGGAAATAACCACCCGATAAATACTTTTCTGGGAACCCATCTTTAAGTATAGTTGTATATCACCAATATGTACGGTAGTATAACATGCCAGTAATTAAGTCAGTTATTATCTAGTTGTATATCTCCATTTACCATAGTTTAACAGGTCAGTAATTAAGTCAGTTATCATCTGGTTGTATATCACCATTGTTTATAATCATGTACGGTAGTTTAACATGTCAGTAATTAAGTCAGATGTCATCATAGTTGTATATCACCATATTATGTACAGTAGTATAACATGTCAGTAATCAACTATCTTAGAGCATGTACAATATCTTAGAGCAATAACTATGTACAATAACATGCCAGCAAGTAAGTCAGTTATCATCTAATTGTGATCTGGTTGTATATCACCATATAACATGTCAGTAATAATAAAGTCAGTTATCATCTAGTTGTATATCTCCATGTACAGTAGTATACAATACCAGTAATTAAGTCATCTAATTGTTTATAATCATGTACAGTAGTATAACATGCCAGTAATAAGTCAGTTATCATCTAGTTGTACATCTCCATGTACAATAGTTTAACATGTCAGTAATTAAGTAAGTTATCATCAAGTTTAAACCCCCCATGTACAAGAGTATGACATGTCAGCAATTAGGCCAATGATCATCTATCCGGTTGCATCCCTCGTTAATAAACCCAATTTGATTATTGATTCCAATTAAGTCAGTTTTCATGTAGTTGTATATAATCATGTACAGTAGTATAACATGTCAGTAATTGCCAGTTGTCATCTAGTTGTATATCACCGTGTATAATAGAATAAAAAACAGTAATTAAGTCAGTTGTCATCATAGTTGTACATGTATATAACAATGTACAAGAGTATGACATATCAGTAATTAAGCCAGTTGTCATGATAGTTGTATATCACCATATAACATGTCAGTAATCAACTAGAGTAATAACTATGTACAATAACATGCCAGTAATTAAGTCAGTTATTATCTAATTGTATATCACCATGTACAGTAGTATGACATGTCAGTAATAAAATCATTTACATATATGTGTAATAGTATGTCATAACCAGGTAGAATTTTTTCTACCTTAACCAAATTTAAGAATTAATAATAACAAAAGCCCCGGTATAGACTGTACGTGTCCCCTATCTTCTGGCGGTAGACCTCTAATGTCTGTGGTTGAGCACCCCCATGATAATAGTATAGGTTGTTAATTATTGTGTAGATATATGTGTGTTTTAGTGTAATTATTAAGTCATTACCTTTTTGGTTATATTACTGTCAAATAAATTTATTTTATTACTGTGGAGTACTTGGTGTATTCTGTTCAATTGAAATATCTGACCAGGAGAAGGAAGATTATAGCTTTAACAGTAATATTCAAATCCCAAGAAATACAAAGGTCCAATTGTCTTCAGGGGTTGGACTTGACTTTCTTGACTAGCATTAGCTTGTGTTTGCATAACCTTTCTACAGCTCAATTGCATGTGCAGTGGCAACTTCCCACTTACTTTATTTTGTTGTTTGTCCTGTGACATGATTTGCCGGCTATTGCTGGAAAAATTATATAAAAAAAAAACTGCTACATAGGTCATAACCTCAAATTTTGGATCACAAGACTTCTCCTTTGATAGATTATGCCAGTCTGTCAAAGTTCTGATCAGGGTTTGGAAATGTGGCACTTACAACTATAATTGTAAGATGATGTTACACATTTGAGCTGCTGGCAGTACAGGATATTGTAGGGTCTGGGTTGATTTTTAGAGTATTGGAAAGAGATGCCCCAAGAAGACATCACAATGTAAAAAGATTCTGAAGATGCCCTACATTTTGAAAAGAGAGAAGATTTTAGAATATCTCCTCCCCTTTTTTATGAGCTGACTCTAACGCATCCTGTATCAAGATTGGTAGATTTTTTTTGCTCTTTAAATTAGTAGCATTGTATTAATAATATCTTTGGCTAATTATTAGATTCGCACATTGTATAGAAGTCATATTGTCTCATGCACTTAAATCAAATTGAGTGAATGTTGACAAGTTGACATATAAGAAAGAGTTATAATTTGGTAAACATATCTGGTTTCCGTGGGAATCAGAATATCATGTTTAACACGTGATTCTAAAAATTCCTATTGCATCATTTGGCTTACCATCCAATCATATCAGTACTTGCACAGATTCAGGGTCATGAATCGCCTGGTCATATGAGTCCTATAAAAGGGACTCTGGCAAGCCTTTAAGTTTACATATCCTTGGGTTGCGGACAGATTACCATCTGAGTTCCTATCAGTGCTTTATATAAAGTGTTGAACTGAATTGCTGCATTGTTATTCCTGGTAAGAAAACCGTCTTAACTACTTGGAAAAGCAAAGAGAAAACACAACGTGAAAAGGAAACCAAAGCAGACAATTGAAAATACTAGACGATCACAAGACTATTAAGATATGTAGTAAGAAAAGGTGTATGGGATATATGTAGGATGTGGCGATTGACTTTAAATTTATACACCGTGTATAAGGTCATGAGACGAAGAATCCTATTGATTGTCAGCGATTTCCGATAATTACTGCCAGAGTTGTGGCCCTTGATCACTTTTAAAAATCTTGTGGACTCTCTGGAGGCTAAAGTTAATATCCGATTGACTTTAAATTTATATACAGTGTTGAAGACCATGAGACGAAGAAGCCTAGTTGACTGCCGGACGATATAGCTGCTGCGGTCGTATGTTTCGTTGCCTGGCAACTTGTGGCCGTATGTTTCGTTGCCTGGCAACCTATCTTTGTATGATATTATTGCCTACCATGTGCTTGATAACGAGAATATTTGTTTAACGTCGCACTATTAAAGTTGGCAATGATTTTATTATTTCAACTAAGCTCTTATTTTCCGTGAGACTCTTCTATTGATCTCAGGGTACGGACTCTTCCGTTTTTATCTTTCTGCGTGCTTTGTTCAGGTGTTGCTCGGTTACACCAGTGCTCAATTATCTGGCGTATTCAAGTAAACTAAGTAATGATAGCTGTTTCAAAATCAGAAGATTGTCAATAAATCGTCTTCATGATAAATATATATTTTCCTGGTAGTTTAGATTTGGTTTCTAATTGATGAGTATGTGTTCTGGATCGATACCGTCGAGAAAAAAAAACCATATCTCTCCTGTTATTTCCTTTGTGAAATTTGAAATGCGGCTGAAAGTTGCTCTTAACTCGCCTGTTTCCTTTTTCCAGTAAAAGAAAAAATAAACCTAATTTTCGACAAATGTGCAAACTTGCTTGATTGACTTTTTAAACAAAAAAATCCCAAGCGTGTTATGTATTTGACATAAGTTTAATGTAGGCATGGTATATTTTCAAACTTAACTTGTATCCCAAAATTCTGAGTTTTCACCTGAATAATCATTGTCGACATTAATAATGTATTATATAATATTTTTGAAAAATGATTGACATATTCATTTTAACAAAGGAATTGTTTGTGCTACTTTAATATTTCTGACGCAGATTTAACCATCTGTACCCGTCGTAGTGTAATCATCAAAATTAGAATGATACTGACATTTTCTGTTGATAATTTAGAAATGAATTCAATATTTAAGTTGACTATCGCATTATAAAAGCCACCAGGTCAGGGGACCAAAAATACGTTCTGTATATATTTCCCCTGTTCTCTGCGTTATTCGAACATTAACAGATGTCAATTTGATACACACAAAAGGTGGGGTTAATTTTTTTATGTGGCTGTACCCTTATGAAAAAGTCCTATAGAAAAACTATAGGTTCCTATAGAAGTTTGTGGGATTCTATAGAATGCTATAGAATGCTGTCGGAAAACGAATTCATTCTGTAGTTTTTTTTCACAGGACTATAGATTCAAAATCATTTACTCTAGTTTTGTGTAGAGTCGGTAGATGAGTTTTTCCAAGTGTAATTTCCTAAAGAATTCTATAGAATACTGTGAGAAACTATTGGAAAAATATAAACCTATAGATTCATTGGTGCTGCTATAGAATTCGTGGTAAAATTATAGTTTTCTATAGAACTAACCTGTATCCTCGGGTCAATTGAGTTCATCCTTTAGTTTTCTATATCCTTTGTGGTAAAAACTATAGTTTGCTATAGAACTAAACTTGTATTCTCAAGTCAGTTGTGGTTCCTATGGTGGTAAAACTATAGTTTTCTATAGAACTAACCTATTGTCTTAAGTCTATAGATTTTGTGGAGAAACATATAACGGATGAGCCTTCTATAGTTTTTTGTATAATTTATATGTATACGGTGCTTTAACCATTTTAAAAAATAGTCTACTATAGTTTCCTACAAAATAATGTAGTTACAATGTACAGATTTCATAATTATTTTGCGATGTCTTTTATTCATACTATAGTTTAATATAGAATTTAGTGATGCACTTGTGTGAATTACGTAAAAGTTTCCAACAGAATTTTCCTGGATGCAGTTTTCCTTAATATACTGTGATACTAAATGACAAACTAAAATAAGCTTACCACGAAAAGATAATAATAATATCTTAAAATAATATTATTTTAATGTAGTGTATATAATATGAATGAAATAGTGATACATGTTGACACTCCGAAAAATGCCAGTGAATGTAGATCTTCACAGCAAAAATAACAGATAATAAATTATTCTTAAAATAAGTCAATGAAATAAAGACAAAGTTTATTTGAACACAGTCTGACTGTTGGGTGATCCTTTTAGTTAAGATTTTAATGAATATAGCAGATCCTGTACTCAAATTATAAAGGGACACGCCTCACACAAAACTATAGATTTTCTATAGAATTCTGTAGAAAACTACACTGGTATTCTATAGGAATTTTTGCTAAGGGTGTACTTCCTGCATACTGAAATTTTTATTCAATAAGCGGTAAAGATATTAGTACCCAAACAAATATGCCATCGCCAGTGTTCCTTCTAATGTTCAGTAGTCGGTGTCAAAATTCTTACGGTATGTAGCCTGGAGGTCGGGTGTTCGATCCCTGCATTGGCCGAGAAAGTTCATCCCGATTTTCCGACGTGGTTTCCCCTTGTCAGTGATGCAGGACGGAGGGCCTGACAAGGACAGCTGTCTAGTTCTTCGGATGAGACGAAAAACCGAGGTCCCGTGTAAACATTGGAATGCACGTAAAGGATCCCTTGGCAGTTGGAATTCGATATAAGAGTAGGCGATAGTGCCGCTGCCCGGGAAAAATTTCCCTCATAGAACACTGTATGGCGTATGCCCGTCTATCATTAGCCCAGTATAGGAGCAGAACAGTAGGACGTTAAACCCCATTTCATTTCATTTCATTTCTTACGGTATGTCACTTTAATTCATGCATTTGACTATAATATATGGGTAAGAGGCGTTACTTCAAACATGAAGTGGATAATCGAATAATTTTCGTGTTCATTCGGGCATCTGATGGCTCTGCTCTGACGTTTCTCTTTGTGCAAAACTAGTCGAAATTAAGTATACCCTTATGACCTTTTAAACTATCTTTCAGTCTGGCATAATGCCCCTGACCGATCAGCCTGTATAGGGAGAATTTGCACCTGAAGGTAGTCCCATTATCGGTCTGCATATACTGATTTACCAATTCGTTTTATTTAATTTATAAGCCGAATAGATATTACCATCCAAACAAATATGTGATCCCCAGTGTTCCCTCTATTCTATGTATAGGGAGAATTTGCCCCCCCCCCACACCCCTTATTATTTACCAATTCGGTTTTCTTATTATCTTGTTAATGGCTTGTACACACACGTAAAATCTGCATTTTTAAATAAGTAAACAAAGATACATGTATATCGACAATAAATTCATATTTTATTACACAAATTCAACCAATTTATACACTAAATGTACGCCACTGTTTATTACACAGAAATAAAAAAGATCATCTGAAAGTAACAATAACATGCTGGTTTACATATCACTACATAATAACTGAGTTAATTACTACATATTATCAAGATGACTTTATTACTGGCATGTTATACTATTGTACATGGTGATATACAACAAGATAATAACTAAATTTATTACTGAGCGAGAGAGAACATTTCATTTCAATAATTCGCTTGCGCATAGGGGTCTTTAGCAGTGGAAGGAACCGAAGGACCCAGAGAAAACCGACGAGGTTAGAAAGGCGATGCCACTCCTTGTCACGTACAACCGGAGAATTGAAACCATGGCAGTTGACTCAATGACAGACCTTGTGACACAGCGCGCACGCGCTAACCATTTGGCCATCCAACCTCCCTAATTTATTACTGCCATTTTATACTACTGTACATGGCGATATTCAACTAAAGTACAACTGACTTAAAGATACATTATGGGATTAGATAAAGAGCTGGCAGTTCTCACTATAATAGCTAAAAACTAGATAACGGCAATTATTGAACGTGTCAATCACTTGTCAATAAAATTTTCAAATGTCGTACGTAATAAAAATAGGCGAACCTCGCTATTTTTCATATTTAATTCCCGTACGGTAATCAAATTTATCTCGGTAACATTCCTACAAAATAACTCCTGCTTCGGCATCAAATTCACAATAGTCGGCATTACGTGTCTTTGTTGTTTATACGACAGCAAATGAATGCAGAACGTCCGGAATAAGAATCGTTTTCTTCTTTATAAAATGTCAACAAAATATTAAAATCCGCGCGTAATAAAAAAAGAGGAACACCTTGCTATTTTTCCTATTTAATTCCCGTGGGGTGTTCAAATTTATGTCTGACAAGGACATCTGTCTAGTCGTTCGGATGGGACGAAAAACCGAGGTCCCGTGTACATATTGGCATGCACGTAAAAGATCCCTTGGCAGTTGGAATTCTGTAACATCACAGGCTGTAGCTTTTTGCTCAACATTCCGTTGGTTCCAATCTTTATAGGCACAATGGGGACAACATTTGGCAATCTCCTCATCATAATTTTGTAGGGGGTTGACCGTTTAGATTTTTCGCTACACGGATTTGAAGTTGACAGGGGTGAAAATCTCACTTCCGACACAATGATTGCTCTGCAGAAAGACACTTTACACCCCCTATCCCTCCGCTGTAATATCATCAGTATTACCCAAAACTGCTATGAAATTGCAAATTTGATCCCTTTTCTCCAATTCTAGACCAGAAAGTCAACCCAAAAATGCAGGAAGAGGGGAGAAAAAAATTAAGGGAAAAATTGTCTATTTATAACTCGCACTACATTCGTCCATCATGAAATAAGGGGAAATAATTACTAGTCTTAGTCCTATATACCTCACATGTTTCTGCAGTTTAAACAAATCTGTTGTTATCTAATAAACAAACATATATGCAATTCCCTGGCCAAAGAATATGAAAATCTATGCATTTTCAGATGAGCTGTGCGGCATTCTGCAAACACTATAATACATCAGAAAACTGCGGAATTTCAGACAGAAATTTAAAAGCACATGAATTTTGAATTAAACAGAACATTTTTATTTTTGAACATAAATGCATTCTGTAAAAAGATGAGATAAATTCAATATAAATCTAACACGAAAATACTTTAAAACAGTAATCATGATGCAATATTAGACTTTTTAACACTTTCATCGTAAACCACACAGTTTTTCTCTGTTAACGTAGTTTCAAGTGCCAAATTGTGGTCAAATCTAAAATGTTGAAACATGCAGTGCCTATCAATTTTAAAATATCTCCTATATAGCTGTATTTCCATAGGATAAGTAAGTTGAAATAATCTGATTATGTAACACTACAACAGCTTTTTCATCCCTACCCCCCAGTTTGGAATCTGATAATTTAAAAGCACATGAATTTTTAATTCCACAGAACATTTTTATTTTTGAACATAAATGCATTCTTCAAAAAGATGAGATGAATTCAATATAAATCAAACACGAAAATACTTTAAAACAGTAATCATGATGCAATATTAGACTTTTAACACTTTCATCGAAAACCACACAGTTTTTCTCTGTTAACATAGTTTCAAGTGCCAAATTGTGGTCAAATCTAAAATGTTGAAACATGCAGTGCCTATGAATTTCAAAATATCTCCTATATAGCTGTATTTCCACAGGATAAGTAAGTTGAAATAATCTGATTATGTAACACTACAACAGTTTTTTCATCCCCACCCCCCGGTATGGAATCTGATACATTGCTGACCAATCATAGGTCGCCTCGTTCACTAGGGCCTGTCAAATGATTTACAATGGCGATGGTGCCTACAACTTTCCTGACTAAGAGATATGCACAACCGTCGATCAACACACAAGCCATTAATGTTATCTTCCAATATGAGAGGCCATGATAAACACACAAGCGTCCTTTTCAAGCTCGGAAATTAAGTCATCACCAAAAAGCAAAGTTTACAGAGGTCCTCGGGGCTGGAACCCAAACTGATTATGATTTGCCCTCCACTTCAACCACAGGTGTCATAGAGATCAGGGATGAAATTGATATGCATCATCATTCTCCTAAAGCCAGTCCAGGAAGAGATCAGGTTTTGAGATGTAGACCTGAAATGTTAAATTTGGATGAGAATGAGAATTCTGGGGCGAATACTATCCAGGGAAATGGTCATTGACATCCAGAAAATGGTCAAAATGTGGAATTCTGTCATTCAGTTAAATGTCAAGGGGAGAAGACAGGCCTGTGCAGTACCAAATTTCCAGCCCATTACTATTAGTGAGCAGAAGTGGGGATCAGGTTGGATGTACTTCTTAAAGTGTATGAAATGCACATTTATCTCACCTGTTTTGCTTCTTTTTTTTTAATACTTGTGTTGAGGTCAATCATTCCACTCTATGAAACATTGCCCTGGCACCTGAAATGATAGGAGGCTGGGGATAAATATGCAATAAAAAACAGTGAGAAAATAAGAAAAAAATATGGTTTCAACTGGAAATAGAAATAAACCTCTTTATTTCTAGCGAACAGCCCGTCACTTGCCCTCCAAAAAGAAACCAGTTAACAATCAGTAAAAAAGTAAACCTTGAGTGTCACATAAGTCTAAGCCAATCTCAAAGGTAGATGCCATGTTTTGAGGTTCGGTCTAAATATTAAGGCCAACTGCATGTTTGGTCAAAAGTCACACAGGTGTGAATTTTGGAGTGTACATGTTAACATTTCATTGTATGATGTCAAAAACATGTTAGGTCTAAATGTTAAGGCCAACTGCAGACTTGGTTCAAGGTCACAACATGTAAATAGGGTTAGGGCACATGATTTTTTGACACAATTGTGGGTTTGGGCTAGGGTCAGAACTAGGTCTTGGCTTAGGCCTAGGCTACATGCTTTTTGACAAGATTGTGGGTTAGGGTTAGGGTAAGGACTGGGTCTTGGGTTAGGGTTAGGGTCAGTCTTGTTTACATCTCGTGACTTTAGACCAAATCTGGAGTTGAGTTGGCCTTAATATTTAGACCTAACCATGTTTTGATATCATTGTGAACAAAATGTTACACATTTACAACCCAAAATTCACACTCAACCAACGGATACCCACAATCATGGCTATTTTGATACCAAATAGTCAAAAAACTTACTGCTGGGCAATAAAAAAGCAGTATTCTTACCATTTCTGACACTTTCCATTCAAAACTTCAGGAAATAAGCCGTTGAAAAAATATCAACATCCCGAGTCGGCCATGCTTCTTTATATCATCAGGACTCAGACTAGCAATTATTTGCCCATTGACTTCAATGTTAAATGACTAACATCACAGGCTGTAGCTTTTTGCTCAACATTCCGTTGGTTCCAATCTTTATAGGCACAATGGGAACAACATTTGGCAATCTCCTCATCATAATTTTGTAGGGGGTTGACCGTTTAGATTTTTTGCTTCACGGATTTGAAGTTGACAGGGGTGAAAATCTCACTTCCGACACAATGATTGCTCTGCAGAAAGACACTTTACACCCCCTATCCCTCCGCTGTAATATCATCAGTATTACCCAAAACTGCTATGAAATTGCAAATTTGATCCCTTTTCTCCAATTCTAGACCAAAAAGTCACCCCAAAAATGCAGGAAGAGGGGAGAAAAAAATTAAGGGAAAAATTGTCTATTTATAACTCGCACTACATTCGTCCATCATGAAATAAGGGGAAATAATTACTAGTCTTAGTCCTGACATGGTATACTACTGTATATGGAGATATACAACTAGATGACAACTGACTTAATTACTGATATATTATAGCACATAAAGGCGGGTATAAAGTTAAGATGTCTTTACATCACTGGAAAACCCAACAGCAGCAATGTCAATATCGCAGTCTGATATTTTCTGAAGCTAAAAAAAAAGAATAAGTGTGGGACTGAAAATAGCATACATTCACATTGTTAAATATGGTGATTACCCTAGAAATAATTGTTGAATTGTGCTAATATTGGAAAGAGTTAAGATTTATGATTAAAAATTTCAGTAATAATGTTTACGGTATCTATAATAAGATCCTGATTTTGTTTATTGTATAGATGTGATTAAAGCATCCAAGATTTTTAAAATTTAGTAATAAATGTCACTTTAAGACAGAAAGAGAGAGAGAGAGATAGACAGAGAGAGAGAGAGAGAGAGTAACAAAATGTTTTGGATTACCTTATCTTCAAAGCTCACCACTACAATTAATTGTTTAAAAGTATCAAAGTTTTCAATAACCAAAACTTTAAAGAGCATCTAACTGTTTTAATAGAGCGGAAGAGATCCTTTCTTTTTCACACTTTGGTCGGCTTTTAATTGGAACAGTTTGTTTGGCTCTTTGACAATAAGTACTTTTTTTGGTTTTCAGGAGAACTTTTCCAATTATTAGACCATGCTTTCATGTCTTTGATTCCATCTGCAAAAAAAAAAAAGAGTGTCCAATTTTAAATTTTCATTTGTAAAATTTTGACTGAATATAAAAAAATTGATAATCAATCCCTCTCTTTATATAAATATTAGATTAATTATAACTACTTGGAGATCATAGTTAGTTACCATAACGACTATGTGTATGAAATGTTTATTTTGTTATGATAAAAATTTGATTAATATTAAAATGTCTAAAGCAATTCATCCATGCATGTCACTCACCTGTTACATAACTTAAAATTATACAGAACCATTTCTTTGACAATCAGGTAGGTAAACATGACCTCTGTTTGAATTTCATGATGGTGTAAGTAAGTACATTGAAAAAAACATATTAAAGGGACTATCCCGATTTGAACAGAGACTTAAAAATAAATGTCCGAGTACGTATGAAATTTAAGCGCCAAAATATAGAGGGGTGGCGTATTTACATTGTCTCAAAATTTCAGCTCAAAATATTGAGTCGTTTGGACGTGAACGTCAAAACTGCTTATCCGTGCACGTAACCCTTTTAAGAATTCGGGTCAATTTTTTCGTTGGGTGACTTGATGATCGATTCCCGTTCCTTGAGAGGTCTATACAGTGCACGACCCACGTGCTGTACTTGATAACGAAAGGAAAATTTCACCAACACATTATTTTTATAAAAAAAAGTCTTATTTTATCCAGATACCGCATAATACATCTTGAGACACCGGTCTCTATTTCCAGATGAAGACTGACGGGTTTAAGTTGTTTGAAAACGTATCACAAATATTGAGTTAGTTGCTCGGCCCTTAGGTAGACAATTTTAAGGGATTTTAACACAAAATTAAGCAGTTTTATTCTCCAAAAAATTATCGGGATTGGCCCTTTAAAGCAAGCTTATTATATGCTAAGCTTGACAATAATATATGAATTTTGTAATGCACAATAAATCAGTTTCTTCTGCTTGGTGTTCATATAACTTGAAAATATCAAAAGAAATAAACAACAGTGAAACAATATTAATATTCAATTTCAACCAGGAAACATAAAGAACAATGTAGTAGAAACTTTTATCAACAATAATTCAGGATCAAATTCAGGGCTCTTATAAATACATAAAGCTCATGCGCATAAAGTCAGGCAAGGTGAAAGTAAATATATACGTATGGTTACTCAATGTAATAAAAGATAGGTTGCCAGGCATCAAAACATACGCCCACAGCAGCTATATCGTCCAGGCAGTCAACAAGAGTTGTCGCATATTTTTACTTTTTTCGGTAATGAAACATTTATAATACATTAAAATCTGATTAAGAGTAACATTATCAGAAAACCATTAGAATTTGTTTGTTTTTTTTAAAATTCTGCCCATGCTAACGTTTAGTATGCGAAACATCATGGATTTAGCTGTAAAAGTCATAAAGATTCATTGAAAATCAATATACTTGTTTGTCTCAAGACCTTAAAATCTGTGTATCAATCTAAAGTCAATCGGATGATAACTTTAGCCTCTAGAGCGATCACAAGATTTTTCATAGTGATCAAGGGACATAACTTTGGCAGTAATTATCCGAAATCGTTGAAAATCTATATGATTCTTCATCTCATGGCCTCAAACACTGTGTATAAATTTAAAGTCAATCGGATATTAACTTTAGCCTCTAGAGCGTCCACAGGATTTTTCAAAGTGACCAAGGGCCATAACTCTGGCAGTAATTATCGGAAATCACTGAAAATCAATAGGCTTCTTCGTCTCATGACCTTAAACACTGTATAAATTAAAGTCAATCGGATGTTAACTTTAGCCTCTAGAGCGTCCACAAGATTTTTCAAAGTGACCAAGGGCCATAACTCTGACAGTAATTATCGTAAATCACTGAAAATCAATAGGCTTCATCGTCTCGTGACCTTAAATACTGTGTATAAATTTAAAGTCAATCGGATATTAACTTTAGCCTGTAGAGCGTCCACAAGATTTTTCAAAGGAATCAAGGGCCATAACTCTGGCAGTAATTATCGGAAATCGCTGAAAATCAATAGGGTTCTTCGTCTCATAACCTTAAACACTGTGTATAAATTTAAAATCAATCGGATATTAACTTTAGCCTATAGAGCGTCCACAAGATTTTTCAAAGTGATCAAGGGTCATAACTCTGGCAGTAATTATCGGAAATCGCTGAAAATCAATAGCCATTACTTGTCTTCTGTAACAAAAAACACAACATAAACTTTTCATAACATAATTAGTATACAACCAAAAAATATAATATGATAGGATAATGGGCTAACATTTCCTGAAAAATTCATCCAGCAAACAAACTTCAAATTACTTTGAACTATTTTCAGTTTATTAAAATTTTAAAATATGATGACTTTTTCAAGAAACTGAGCCTGTACTTCCTACATTTACATGGTTATCCTTACTATCACTTTGCTCTTTACAGAACAGGTTATAAGATGTTCCATGAGTTTTAAAATTTGGCATACTGTCGCCCACTTAATTTTCTTTTTTTTATTCCCTATCAAGTCCTGTGAGAAAATATAATGCTTTGAAGAAATATAAATTCGATTAGCTGTTACTTCTGTGAGAAAGAATGAAATATATATTATGCTTATATTGAGCATGAATATCCAACTGTTAGTTTCCATGTAATAATATAATAATAAAAGTAATCAAATATGCAGTTTGAACTGATTGTACATTATGTTTACCTTGGCTTACTCCAGAAATATTGTGCTTGACAAAACATCCACATAAAGACTTTAGCGCTGAATTATAACTTGTTTAAAACCAAAGAGTTTTTGAATGACGATAACGAGATGCATCGACTTAGGTTAATAGGTAATGAGTTCCACCTTCTAACAGTAGCTATTTCAAATGAACGAAAACCAAAAGTTGTCATCCTGAGAGATTTTGATCCCAAATGGAATCTAAGATTGGACAAGTTCACATAGATATTTAGGAACGGTGCCATTAACACATTTAAGAAGTTTAAAATCTATTCAGTCAGAAACAGGGAGCCAAATGGAGATCTTTTAGAATGGGTGTGATACGACTGGATCTAGTTGTCGGCTGTGAAATTGGCATTGTAGAAGATCAACTAGAAGGCTTGCACTGGTTTATTTCCTCATGTTGTCAATGATGTAGCCTTATAACACTTTCAAAAAGACGAAATCTTAATTAAAGCATAATCCAGGCATTCGCCTAAAGTCAAGTTACCAGGCAACAAAACATATGCCCACAGCAGCTAAGTAGTCTGAACAGTCCACAAGGGTTGTCACATTTTTTTCACTGAACATCAATAGCTTCTTTATCTTATGAATATAAACACGGTGTGTTGAAGACAGAGGAAGGGAGGGGCACAGGGAGACAAACAGAATGAGAGACAGAGCGAGGGAGAGACAGGGCGAGTGAGACAGACAGGGACAGGGAGGGAGAGACAGGCAGAGGGAGGGACAGATGGAGGGAGGAACAGATGGAGGAAGGGACAGGCGGATGGAGGGACAGAGGGCGGGAAAGAGAGGGAGGGACAGACGGAAGGATAGGGAGAGAAAGGGAAAGACAGAGGGGGGACTGACGGAGGGAGGGACAGAGGAGCAGAGAGAGGGAGGGAAAGACAGACAGAGGTAGGGACAGACAGATAGAGGGGGGACACAGAGAAAAGGAGGGACACAAGGAGAGACAGAGAGGGAAATACATGGGGACAGAGGGACAAACGTGGAGAGACAGAAAGAGGGAGGGGGACAGAACGAGGGAGGGACAGAGGGGGAGGGAAAGACAGAGGGAGGGAGAGATGGATGGACAGAGGGAGGACAGAGAGAGGGAGGGACATAGAGATAGGAGAGAGGGACAGACGGACAGGGTGGGGGGTTGCTCTTTACATTCGTAACAATATTTTCTTCAAAAGGAGGCTTGATTTGGAAATCGACAGCGCAGAGTGCATTTGGATCGAAACAATCAACAATAATAATAAATTTCTTATAGGCCTCCTAATTCCACGAACGATACGAAAAGCTCACTTTTTCAACCAATTTCACTTGCCGTTTCTGATGAAATTGAAAAGATTTTTATTTTTGGAGATTTCAATATAGATATGCTAACAAAATTTAATACTTTTATCCACACGTCAATTGCTCTTTTTAACTTTAAGCTAATAATAAGTGATCCCACGCGATATGATAACAACGGAAATATAAGCTTAATCGATATTATTCTTACAAATTCTCCAGGATATATTTCTGAATCTGGTTGTTTAGATAACTTCTGCAGCGACCATTGCCCTGTATTCTGTCGGTTAACTTTCAAGCATCCAAAATTTCCTTCTTTCAAACGCATCATTTGGGATTTCAATAAAACTAATTATGACGGACTTAGACATGACGTACTAAATTTTAGATGGGATTCCATTGTTGATAACAGTTCGATTGATACGTCCTGTGCCTCTTTCACATATGAACTGACAAGGATAGCAAAAAATAATATTCCAAACAAGATAGTAACCATTCGGCCCAGGGATAAGTTATGGATGAATAATACAATTAGAAAATTAAGCAAGAAAAAAAATAAGGTGCACAAAAAAGCTGTAAAAACAAACTCAGAACATGATTCGCAAAACTTTCGATCAATTAGAAATGAATATTATATTAATCTTATAAGAAAATGCAAACAGGAATTTTATGAATAAATAGACCAAAAAATAAATAAGACTGGTGGCGTCTTGTCAATTCTTATGTGAAAGGGCAACGTATAAAAAATGATGAATTACCTCCCCTTATCAACAATGGAATCCTTTTCTCCACCCCCTTGGATAAGGCAAATTGCTTAAATGACTTCTTTATCAAACAGTCACAACTTGACACAGCCAATGCACAGCTTCCTGAACTTGAACACAACGCAAACTCACTCTGTAATTTAACACTAATACCTCAAGAAGTTAAAAACATGATCTTATCGTTAGATACCTCCAAAGCTACTGGACCTGATCACATAAAATTCTATCTCATCTGAAATATGTAACCCCTTATGCAATCTATTCAATCTCTCCCTTTCGACAAAAACTGTACCGATAATCTGGAAATCAGCTAATGTTATTTCAATACTGAAAAAAGGCGACCCTTCTGAATGCGTCAACTACAGACCCGTTTCCCTTTTGAGCATCATTGTTAAAATTTTCGAAAAATGTATTTACAAGCATGTCTTTAACTTTATGAGGAATAATGCAATCATAACTAACTTACAAAGCGGTTTTATGCACGGTGACTCAACTGCCTATCAACTAATTGACCTTACGCACTTCTTTTGTCAAGCCATAGACGAGGGTCAGTATACGAGGACGGTGTTCTGTGACATCAGCAAGGCATTTGACAGGGTGTGGCATGCTGCACTGTGTCGGAAGCTTGGGGCGGCTGGGATCAGAGGTGACTTGCTTCAATGGTTCAAAAATTATTTGTATAACAGAAAGCAAAGCGTCGTTGTAAGTGGAGTCTCCTCTGACCCTAAAACCATCCCTGCTGGTGTATCACAGGGCTCTGTCCTCGGCCCCCTTCTCTTTCTTATATATATAAATGATATCGTTAAGAACATAAAATCGAATATTCGACTTTTTGCGGATGACACTAGCATCTATCTAAAAATTAATGACCCAACCGCATGCGCGACTGTCTTAAATAGTGATCTTGAAATGCTAAACAAATGGGCAAAAACGTGGCTGGTTTCCTTTAACCCGCTGAAAACTGAATCACTTGCACTAACTACTAAACGAGACCCATTGTTACCTACACTAAATTTGGACGGAATTCCTATTAAAGAAGTTTATCAACACAAGCATTTGGGATTGACTTTTCAGAAAAACTGCAAATGGGACAAACACGTTAACATTATTTTGACTAAAACGAGTAAAATGATTATTTGTCTTAGGTCTTTAAAACACCGCCTTAATAGAAATACCTTGAAAACTATATATACTTCTTTTATTCTTCCACATTTTGACTATTGTGACGTAATATGGGATGGGTGCACAGACGAACTAAAAAATAAATTAGAGCACTTACAACTAGATGCACTCAGGACTATATGCGGGGCTGTGAAGGGTACCAGTCATAGGTTATTTTATGAAGAAACAGGATTTATCACTCTGCAAGAGAGGCGAAGGCGCCACAAACTCATCTTAATGTACAAAATTATTAATCAGCTAACCCCTCCATACCTCCACAATTTAATCCAGTTTTCCCAAAATCCTTATACTCTCCGTAATAGCAATAATTTAACTGATTACTTTTGTCGAACAACTTTATTCTCTAAATCCTTTATACCTTCTACCATAAAAGAATGGAATAACCTTGATATAAATATTAAAAATGCGACCTCTATAAGTAAATTTAAAACTAAAATAACTGATAAAGATAAAAATATACCACCTTGTTTCAACTTTGGCAAACGTAAAAATCAAATATTACATATCGACTTCGTCTCTCGAGTGTGATTGCGGTCATTCCTTCGAAGATACCGATCATTTTTTTTTTACATTGCTCCTTACACTCAGATGCACGCAAAATATCTATAAATCTTTTACCACCGAATTTTATTAATGCACATAATCTGTTATACGGTGTAAGCAGCAGTCATACTTCGTTAGCAATCTTTGAAAAGGTCCACACGTTTTTTGACAGCAGCAGAAGGTTTTAAGATCAGTGTAACATCTATATCGATTAAAATGCGAACATGAACAACTGCGTAGCCAATGTGTAAATATGTATATATAAAATGTTGATGAATAAGTATTCATTTTATTGTTTTGTTGTTTACTCACTTATTTATTTTACATATCCATATTAATTCTTGTATTTAGGAGAGAGGTCATATAGGCTATGCCTGTTCCTCAATCAATTTCAATTTCTGAATAAAATATTGTTTAAAAAAGAAAGAGAGAGTAAGAAGAAGGTAAGATAGAGGGAGGGACAGGTGGAAGAACAGATGAAGGGACAGATGAAGGGATGAATGGACAGAGGGAGGGACAGAGGGTGAGACAGATGGAATGACCGAGGGACAGACGGATGGAGGGATAGAGGGAGGGACAGATGGGGGGAAAGAGAGAGGGAGTGCATGACAGAGGGAGGGACAGACGGATGGAGGGATAGAGAAATGAAGGGACAGAAAGAGGGAGTGACCGAGAGACAGGGAGGGAGAGACAGTAAGGAAGAGACAGAGACAGGGAGAAAGACGGAGGCAGGGTCAAATAGAAGGAGGGAAAGACGGACGGAGGGAAAGACAGAGACAGGGCGAAAGACGGCGGCAGGGTCAAATAGAAGGAGGGAAAGACGGATGGAGGTAAAGACAGAGGAAGGGATATAGGGGGACAAACAGCAGGAGGGAAAGACGTAGGGAGTGAGCGAGGGCAGAGAGAGAGAGGGGGACAAAGAGGGAGGAACAGGGGGAGGGAGGGACCGACGGGTGGAGGGATAGATGGGGGGGGGGGCAGACGGGAGGTCAGAGAGAGAGAGGAGGGACAGATGGATGGAGGGATAGAGAGATGAAGGGACAGATGAAGGATGGATGGACAGAGGGTGGGACAGAGGGAGGGA